GGGTAAAAAAAAAATGGAGAAAGGGGGTGGGGATTGCATTCTTTCTACTCTCCCAGTATAGGAACCACTACTCTGATTTGTCTGACTGTTCAACAACATGAGGCATTACCTGATCTGCTGCAGACATTCTACTGCAGATGCAAAACAAGCATCCTTTGTGGTTGGCAACACCTGCACAAGGAGAATGAGTGTCAGAAGAGAGGTGTCTTCTGTAACAAGAAAATGAACCATCCTAGAGGACCCAGCCTGCGGGGGAGGACCCAGCCTGCGGGGGATCATTGCCATTAACACGAGCACTGCTCATGTAAACTAGAATCCTTCACAGCAAAGAAAAACACCTTTGACAAGGAACTAAAATCCACTATACCTTTTTACCCTCTCCAAGGATTGACAAGGTTGCTGGCCAGAATTTCCTACAATGAAACCATAAACTGTTAGTACAAGACATCAGTATGGTAGACACGCCCTTTATAAAGGTGACGGTTGTCTTGGCTTCCCTGCTCCCATTAACAACAACTTTTCTACAAATTGGTTCTGGGTTTCATGTTTTTATTTACTTTTTTCCTAAGTTTTAGGAAACATCCTGGAAATGGCTTAATACTGTGAATGAAAATTCCTGAGAAGAAGCTCTATCTGGCTGTGAATGAAAGCTCCCAGAAGGAGTCTGTGTCTGCAGAGAATAATGAACTGGAATCTCAGTGCTCTGAGAGACTGGAGTTTGTAGGTTCAAAAGCTAATTACTTTATCTTGGGTAACTTTAGCCTTCTGGAACAGCCACTCCTGGCTCTGAATCTGAAAAAAAAAACAACTAATAATAATAAACAAAAAACCTCTTAGAAGCCATTAACTTAGCAGAACACTTTTCTAGTAATCCAAGAGCTAAGAATGCTATGAGATAGCATCTTGGGCCTTTAAAATAGCTATAAAATAGCTGCACACCCCCAGCCCCCTCCCAGCCTGTCTCAATGTATCTGCCTCTCTGGTGTACCCAATACATTTTAAACTTTCCTTGATTGATGATCTTCTTTGTTCTGTAAAGCTACAAAACCTGCTTCCATGTTAGAGCATGGAATTTGGGATAACTTAAGACAGTGTTCCTGATCTATGGTCACTTATTTTTTTTTTAAAGATTTATTTATTTATTTATTATATGTAAGTACACTGTAGCTGTCTTCAGACACCCATATGAGGGCATCAGATCTCATTGTAGATGGTTGTGAGCCACCATGTGGTTGCTGGGATTTGAACTCATGACCTCTTGAAGAGCAGTCAGTGCTCTTAACCGCTGAGCCATCTCTCCAGCCCCTATGGTCACTTATAATGGCCCTAGAATAAACAATCTCTTATTCCCTTTAAGATGAGAGCTGTGGTTTTTTATGTTGGCAATAGCAGCTACTATATCCCAAGGGGCTTTGTCATCCTAGAACCTCAATCTACATCCAAATACCACAGACTACAGCCCAGAATATGTTCTTCATTTACCTTTATCACATTTTTATTGCTAAATTATTCCACTGAAAAAAATGACTTCCCAATAAACTGTATGCCCTTTTTTTGACAGTGTGAATACACCGCCCTTGAGTGGACTGGACTCAGCTTTATCTACTCTAGAGAAAGAGTGATAATGACTCCCTCCAACAAGAACCAAGGGTCTGAGATAGTAAGAAAACTTTTATATCTAAAGTTTTAAATTGCAAATGATGAGGGAAGGATGAAAAGACAAGGAACACCAAAGTATACATCTTTATTAGGTAACGGTTGTGGATAGCTGTGAAGCTGTTTGTATTTTGATGCTAATCCAGCTTCCCCTGGGACTAGTAGTGAATCAAGTACTCAGGACTTCATGTGACCCTTCTAAGGAAACCAATCACTGGGTGAGTAGGCGGGACTTTCGGGTCAGAGGGAGGAAGAAAAGAGTCAGGAGAGAAATACACGCTTTTGGATGGGGACAGGGGGAAGACAAGATATAGCTGCTAATGACACCCGGTTTAGATGGCGAATCCGCCAGGATTGTCACCGGAGGATTTAAGTTTAATATGGCTTACAAGACTAGGATTCTAGTTGTTCCACACAAAGATTGAGTTACCACTGATTCTGAACTAAGTTTGTGTGGTGCTTTCCTTCACATGGAGGTTCTACTGGGTTCCAGAGAGAAAAGTCAGGTCGAAAAGCGTGGGTTTGCAAGAAATGCACCCCAAAAGGCCGTGGGAATTTTGAAGCATGGGGCTGGTGTGGGAACTTAAGAGAGCTGGGTGGAGAGTTTTTGGAGCTCTGAGTCAGAGAGTCTTCATGAGATGAGAACTGGCTGGCCGGCCAGCCTGCCAGGGCCTGCTGGTTAACGAGGATTGCATTTTTAAGTATTTCTCACAACAAGGTAAAATGAGCCATTTAGTTTATATATGATAATGTGATAAAAACGTTCAGATGAATAAACAAGTTCATAACCATCTTGGAATCCTCTCAGAAATGCAGACCATTAAATCCTACTATTGTGCTGACAGGGCAGATGAGCAAGCTGAGAAACCACACACACACATACATAAGTAGATGCCAATAAATTCTCGGCAGTGCAGAAGGATCTTCAGTTCAAACTTTTGGTTCTGCTCACAACCACAGTACCTACCTCTGTACTCCAAGAAAGCCCAGGAGAGCAATATCTTCCTGCTTGTTTAGTCGAAGAACACATTCCCAGTAAATGTCTTCCTCTCGGTCATTATCCAGGGCATAGAGCATGAAGAGAGGTGGGTAGAGCCGAGGCAGCAGCACCGGAAGCAGTAAGCCAGAACTTGTGACTACGTAACTACAAACAAGAAGTGGGAAGGCAGGCACACGAATACTAGTCAGAGACGGAGCTTCCTTATAAACTGCAAGGTTCACAGGATGTTTTTGCAGAGTGCTGTTCTATACACGTAGAGCTGACTGTCTTGAACCAACTGCCAATTCTTTTGGATGACTAGAAATCAAACTGAGAACTGAGGATGCCCTTGCAGGGTCACCTAACTCAGCCTTTGCTCAGCTGCCTTCAGGACTGACCACATGTGGCTGCTCCCTCCCTGAGAACAGCTAGTAGCACAGGGAACCTTAGACAGGATCGCTGAGGAAATGAGGAACCAGGCCTGGGGAAAGCAGCCATCACTGAGGTTCCTCAGGAGTCCATGCAGCCTTCACACCATGTCTTCACCACCTCACGCAGCTCAACTCACCCTGGCTCTGGTGACTCGGATCTGGAATCCGATTTCCCAGTACAGAAGGATCTCCTTCCCATGGGCAGAGGAGCAGAGAGAGGAATTGTGCTGCCCTCCTCAGGAAGCTCAGGAAACAAGAACCTAAATGAAAATTGAAAACAAACCGTAAGATTCTAGGTCCAGAGCAGCTGAAAATAGTAAATATGAACTTCCAGCAGCTGATCTACCTAAGGGCCTATAAAACTAAACTTTAACTATGTTAGCTCCTAGGGGGTCTCAAATGATGCTTCCTACAGAATAAGAATGGAGTGACTAAGTGACAGTTCCAAAATCCTTCCCCAGCGGGGGTTTATCTGAGTAAGGAATTCTCTACCAGAAGTCAACCTGCATCAACTCAAATCAGAAACTCAAACTAACTCTGAACACTAGTCTCAGAACATAACCCCAAGTGAACTACAGAGATCTCAATGTAAATTTTAAAACTCTTTTCTAAAATGCAGACTTGCTGAAGGTTAATTCTTCAAATGATAATGGACTAAATTATTGACTATTTCCTGGGTTTGCTTTTCCTCCATGCCTTGATTTTTGCCCTAGAGAAGTAGGTCTCAATCTGTGGGACGGGGATCTCACATCAGATAGTTACTCTACAGTTCATAACAGTAGCAAAATTACAGTTATGAAGTAGCAACATAGTAATTTTATGGCTGGGGTCACCACAACATGAGGAACTGTATTAAAGGCAGCAGCATTAGGAAGGTTGGGAACCAGCGCTCTAGGCCTTTATCTTTGACTTCTGGTATGTTGCTGGGCCTACCATATGTTTACTGTCTGGTTTATTTCAGAGACTTAAATCTTGACCTTTCAATATTGTAATATTGTTTATTTTTTTATGGAGTTACAGCTTGCCGTCTACCTCTGCTCTCTTTATAGCTGGGAATACTAAAAAGCAAATTTAAGAAAGTTCTTTTTAGCACACATACCTAGCCAAGGCTGAGCGGAAACACTCCCATTGTAGGGATGGATGCCTTTCACAGACATGCTGCTCCTCCAAACCTGACACACTCCAAGTGTGCTTAGCATTTTGAGCTTGGTAATATAAGGACATTTCTGGGGCAAATTCCTAAGTGACTCAGTAGGGAACTCATGTGTTGGTTTAAAACTCCAGCTTGGTGCTGCTGGGATCTGTCTTCTCTACGCCAGTTCCTGGCTCATCTAACCATGTCTCACCTCTTAATACTTCCTGGTCGGTCAGGCATCCAGACCTGAAGCAGACAGCAAGCACTTCATTGTAGCTTCTGCCTCACTCTTTCCTTGTTGTTTTTTAAAGAGATAATCACACTGATACACTACATGTGTTATCTGCTCTTCCTTACTCTAGTTCAGAAGCTGAGGAAGACTTTTCTTTTTTCAGTGTTTTGTCTGGCTGACACTGTAAGTGCTCATCTGGCATCTGCTGAGTAAATGAGTATACATGGTGCTGCTGTGAAGGGAGGGAACTGGACAGATCCTCAGAGACTGACCTTCAGTGAACTCTATTCTGTGGTTAGGTTTTAGAGGCATGATTAAGCCTAGAAGTTAAATACAAATATAACTACAATATTTTACACCAAATTAGACTTAGAAAACCAGAGTTTATTTTAGCCTTCAGTAATATTAAATGAGAACACGTATAAGGTGGTAAAAATCACATGAACAATTAAAACTGCCCTTCCATTATTTAGTTTATTTATGGATCTGTAGCCCAAAGCTAGTTTTGGATGAATACTTCCTATTATAAAGGGAAGCACTTAAGCACCTCACAAGACTGCAATATCTAGACTTAGGCTGAAGATGCCACAGTATTAACAGGACACTCTACAGCTTTCAAACATCAGTGTAACGACCTTACCTCACAAGCTGGAAAATCCTCTTGAGATAAGACTTAATCTCCTTCACAGCTTCCTGCAGTAAGCGGCGGTTGGCCCCTACACCCACATAAGTCATTCTATACACTGCAACCAGGGTCTCCACAAGCCTGCCCAGTGGGTGCAGAGGAGTGTCACAGGCCTGAGACCAGAAGCAAGAAACATGATCAACAAGCAGCAAGAGCAATAGCAGCAGAAACCAGTCCATAATAAACCATTTCCATGGTGTCAGGAGTCAGTCTGGGGTCAGGAAAACTCCAATGCCTTCCCTTTGCAAATCTTTAGTCTGTGTGAATTCAGGAGCTATGGTTGAGATACTTGTTCTGAGACAGGTCTCATACTGTAGAACAGCAGGAGCAATGTCAGTACTTGCTTTTCTTCAAGGTAACATTCCATACACATCCTATCTATGTCATGTTTCATTTTTGCTTTTCTTTTTATATATTTTAAGAGTTTTAAAGAATTATGTATGTGTGATTGCATGCAGATGCCCAGAGGCCAAAGCCTCAGAAGCCTAGGGCAGCTGTTGCAGGCAGTTGCAGGTAGCCTGATGTGGGTATTGGGTGAACTCAGGCCCTCTGCTCCTAACTGTTGAGTCAGCTCTCCAGCACCTGCCCTTTGTTTGTTTTGGAAATAGGGTCCTGGTACTAGCTTAGGTTGGCCTCAAATTTGTGATTGATCTTCCTGCCTTAGCTTGTCAGGGGCTAAAAATGTGCCTGGATGATTTTTGTTAAGTTTAAAATGTTAAAATCTTTCTTGTGATGACACTCTACATCAGGAATTCCATTTTGTCCTTTTTTATGGCTCAGGTTTTCTACTGCAGAAGAGTTAGTAATGGTGTTTTTTGCAGAGGATGACTTTGGCTAACAATACTGTACAGCTCAAAACAGACACAAGAAAGGACTTTGTTTTTCATCACAAAGACAACTAAGTATCCTGAATCGATCAATACAGAATATATAAATGTACTAGATATCTATCAATTACAAAAAAAAAAATTAGAGCCAAGTATAGTGGTTAAAACCTATAATTTCTGCATTTGGGAGGCTCAGGCAGGAAGATTACCCTGAGCTCAAGGCCAACCTGGGCTACACAGTGAGACCATCTTTTTTTTTTTTTTTTTTTTTACGTTTTTCCGAGACAGGGTTTCTCTGTGTAGTCCTGGCTGTCCTAGAACTCACTCTGTAGACCAGGCTGGCCAAGAAATCAGAAATCCACCTGCCCTCCCAAGTGCTGGGATTAAAGGCGTGCGCCACCACTGTCTGGCGAGACCATCTTTTTTAAAAGTCAATGATTTAGTAAATAAAACAGAGAAAGTAAACCCATTAGGTTAACATCTGAATGATGACTGTGTTTGTCTGGAGAGTCTACAGGTGGAGCAGAGACAAGACAAGGTTTCAGGCCACTTAGCCTGGCTACATGGTTCTTAGCAGACGGCCTAGAAGTCCTGGTCCCTTCCATGTGCCGAGACTTCAGGTGTCCATGACCACACCCAGTTCTACAGCTACTTGATCATTAACTAACAAAGCCGACATCATTTTGACTTGCTTACCTTTATTAAATACTTCTTGATATCATCATATTTCTCCACAGAGAAGGTGCCTACGTGCTGGGGAATGTACTCCAAACTCTCCAAGGTCTGAGTCTGTGAACGGCTTAGTATTTCTGGACTATAAAGAGGAAGAAGAAGGCCAGCATTTCATATGAGAACAGCTGTAAATGTGCACCTCGAACAATCACCAGCTGAGGAGGGAGAGGAGAATCTGGCACAGACCCACCTTGCTCACCACGAGCATTCATTGACCTAGCACAGGCCTAACACATTCATCAATAGCAGCTGACCTGAGGTTATATAAATCTACCCAAAATGGTATTGGCTGACCTGCTACTCAGAGCATAAATTCACCCAGCACAAGCCTGATATACTCTACATATCTGACCTGCTACCCAAATGCAAATGAAAAGTAGCATAAAACCAATTTCTAGAAAATCAAATGACATCACTAATCTGAAGAAATCCCTCGTTTCGCTGTCTGAAGAGACCTCCAAACATCGCAAAGATCCTTATTGGACTTGATTTACTCTATTACAATAGAAAAGGCTGTGTACAGCTCTTGACAGTGTACAGCCCTTAAAGAAGAAGGTTGCCTTTACATAGACAAGACAAGGAGGGTTAAAGAGAGCATGAAATAGGTAGTGAAGGCCCTAAGAAAAATCAGAGAGAGAAAGAGACAGATGAAGGCTGGTACAAGAATTGGTTTTCAGCCTCTCCAAGGTTGTCAACCCTATTTCCTCCCATCTTAGGACCATTATTTGGGTTCTTTTTGCTTTTTTCTGCTGGTCCCTGGCCCTCAAATAGGCGGACTAACTCTGTGATACAACAGGTAAATAATTTGGTAGCAAAACCTACTCAGATACATTATCATAAGTTAGCTATGGAGGACCACGAGACTCAAGATGAGGTTGTTACTTTATACAGGGTGTTTCCAAAACCCATCTCCACCCAACCTAAAAGGGGGGACTTCCGCCCCTAGACCAAGCAGAGAGGGGCCACCCAGAACCCCTTCTGTCAGGCGATCTCAATTCTTGCTTAGGCTTCAAGGCTAAGCACTGCAAGGGAATATAAATAAAAGATAAAAATATCTCTCTGGGTTCCCTGAGGGACAAGCCTGACTGCATAGGGGTTGATGTCAAAAGTATCCCCTCTCCAGGAAAAAGACATCGGGATGGGTATGGCCCTCATGCCTCACTGGACAATGACAGGGGGACTGGAGCCATTACAAGGTCCCCTTCAAGTACTGGAGGTCAGGCCTCTATCCCCGCCTTTGAAAGGTTAGAATTGCCACAACCCTTCTATACTTAGAGAAGGGAGGAGATGTCAGGGGCAGCCCTGCTTACACACTGAAGGCCTAAAATCAGCCATAGGCCTAAAATCAGCAATAGGCCTGTCATACATGTATACTAACACCAAGTCTTGGGTCTCAGTGGAAAAACATTGAAACAGATGGCTATAAGCTAATGTAAACAGGCAGCTTTTGTGGAAATTTACCAGCCTGAGGAGTCATAGACCTTGTAAATAGGTAGCCTTGGCAGACAATACCAACTTAGATAAGGACAAGTGAGTCATAGGCAGAGTCATAGTGACTTGTCCCCTGAACCTTCACCCAGCCGATACCCGGTTCTGAAGATATCTGTATTCCCCCTGAACACCCACACTCCAGTGTCATTCCCTTTCCCACATCCTCCTTTCTGTGTTTATAACCCCTGTGTGAATGAATTATGATTTGAGAAAAAACAAATTATATAAAAAAAAAAGACCTAGAAGGAGTTGGGAAGAGGGTGAATATTATTAAAGTACATTGTATGAAATGATCAAAAATCAAAACCATTTTTAAGAGGCTACTAAAGAGAAATCAATACTGTATCATTGCAAGCAAAAAAAAAAAAAATGAAAAGAAAATCAAATGTAGCAGCTATACACAAAGATCAAAGTCAGCAGTTCTTGATGTTTTAAAATTTTTAGGCATATTTTGTGTTCAAATGTTTTGCCTGAAAAAAAAATATATATATATCTGCCCATCTGTATGCATGCACCAGAAGAGAATCCTTATCCTCCAGAACTGGAGTTACAGACAGTGTGAGCCACCATGTGGGTGCTAGAAATTAAGCCTGGGTCTTTTACAAGAGCAGCCTCTTGTAGAGGCTCTGAGGCTCTTATGAACCTGAGTCCTGTCTCCATGTGCATTTCTTGGTATTTCAACAGTAAGGAAGAGAGCTAACAACTACCTGCAAGTATACTCATGACTGTTTCAGGGAAATTCAGTTTAAATGCTCAGCAATGCTTGTGAGTTAGGAAAGGCAAAGACAGTCTGATGGAGAAAGGATAAAAGCTAAAGGAGAAAGGTGAGCGACAAGTCCATCTGTAATTTTCTTTCTTTTTTTTTAAAAAAAAAATTATTTATTTTATTTATATGTCATTGTCTTCAGACACACCAGAAGAGGGCATTGAATCCCATTACAGATGGTTGTGAGCCATCATGTGGTTGCTGGGAATTGAACTCAGGACCTCTGGAAGAGCAGTCAGTGCTCTTAACCACTGAGCCATCTCTCCAGCTCCCCATCTGTAATTTTCTTTTAGTGCTTTGGAAATGTTGGGCCATTTCTCCCTGGGCTGCAGGCTCTTGCTTCCATGCTGCACATACACACTCACTCACTCACTCACTGTGGGGCTCTGTGTGTGGTGCACTTCTTCTAGCCACTGTCAGGATCTTCCTCTTTAAATGTGACTGTGCCGACTCTGAACATACTTTCAAATGAGGTTCTTCTGTTAGGGACAAACCAGTCCAAGCGACCCACAATTCACTCTGGCCAGGAGCTTCCAAGCTCATTGACTTTCAAATCATACTACATTTGTAGCTGAGTATAGCAAACCTGATCACTGTCTGGCTTCAATCTCCTGACTTGACTGCTCTGCCATGTGCTATGCAGGTGTTTGCTCACCTGTCTCTGTGCTGGCGACGGTTGGTGGTCAAGGCCACAGCGATATTATCCCATGCTTTCCAAACTTCCCCTTGACCTGGACTCTCACAGCCCAGCTGGCGCCAGCATTCGTCAAACACTGCTCTCCATTTCTCATCTGCGGCCACCGCCAGGCTCCCCAGCTTCCTGCTGACAGAGCAAGCCGCACCAAAATTTATTCTTCACCGCATTATGAATTCATCCCCAAGGATAAAGACTTTTTACATAAACTTCAAACACTTCTGTGACCCAAACTGTGTGCACATGTTATATGTGTCTGTGTGTGTACACTCCTTCACCTCGCACATGTATATACATTGTGTGTGTATGTGTGCATGCCAATGTATGTCTGAGCTTTTCTTGGCATTTCAATTCGGAATGCTTTTCCTGTCACCTGCATCTGTACCCTTCACAGCAGGCTCATTCCTAGATCTGCACCTGTGTGCTGGGGCACACGCCCTACAGACAGGACTACAGACGTGGCCCTCTATCTAGGTGGCAGCTGACATGACTTAATGGAAGATATTTAAAAAGAACAATTTTAAAATGTCGAATTTGCTTTAAAATATTAACCTGCTTTGATCAAAGCATGACAACTCAAAAACATTCAGTAACTGCCCCAGCTAGTACTCACAAGGCTTTGGGCTTGTCCTTATCACTCTCATAGAGGCTAGGTTTGAAGTAGGTCCCAGTGATTTTTATCCCAGATCCCCATTCTCCACTAAAATAACCTTCAATATAATCTCCATTTGGCATAGTCAGTGTTCCCTGGTTAAAGCAAAAGAGAAGCAGAGTTAGAAAAATGTTTACACTTATAGAATTAAGAGGAAAAACAGTACGACTCACTTAACACTTTCCTTTGTAATTTGCTTTTTTCCCATTCTCAGTTCTGATTAAGAAACAAAAATGCATGCATGCACATGCCAGAAAAAACACGAGACAATTCATGGGTAGGGTAAAGAGAAAGAGCAGGAAAATGGGAAGACTTTTAGTTGTGTGGAACACACACTGTATCCAAGTCACAGGCCACTGCTGACAGTGTTCAGGAGGGGTGTCACAGCTGCTAACATCTATCTGCCTTAGAAAATACCAAAGGATCCAAATCACTCTCTGAGATTCTATCTTGGGAAAGTGGGATGAGGGAAGGAGAAAATTAAACCCAACACGAGAAGGAAGAATATGAAGAACAGACACCACTGAAATAGAAACCCAAGTACTATGGGAAAACACACATACACTGAATCAGAGTTGATTTTCTGAAAACATACAAAAGAGTAACTTGAGTGTTGTGTACACTCCTCTAACTCTAGCATGTGGACGTGGGGCCGAAGGACCAGAAGTTCAAGGTCATCTGCAACTGCATAGGGGTTTACACCACTTCCTTCCAAGGAACATCGGAGATTTAATGGGAAAATGTACCGAGGCAGTGAAATATTAATGTACAAAATGTATTTAGACTCTTGAAAAACTTTCTAAAGTCAAGAAAAATAAATGAGAGTGTAAACAGAAGAACAAAGTTGTTTCCAACCTTTCCGCTAAGCGTCCAGTCATCAGAAAATTCTCCTTCATAGATAGTATCATCTTCAGAAAGCAAAACCCCAGTTCCCTATATGAAGAAGCAAAACACAAGTCACAAGACAGACCGCAGAAGACCTGAAAGTGCACACAGCCACACCCAGAAGGCCTCCCACCATCTGCAAAGTAGAAAATAGTTCTAAGAAAGTCATACAGGGCCAGGCATGGTGGCTCAGGCCTGGGATCCCAGGATCAAGAGACAGTAGTAGTTTTTCGATGAGTTCTAGGCCAGGCAGGGAGTCACACAGGGAGACCCAGCCTGGCCTGGATTACAGAGTGCAATCTCATCTCAAGAAGCCAAAACAAAAGTAGAACATTAATTAAAAGATAACTTAAAGGTTAGGGACATAGGAGATTTCAAAAGCTGATACGAAACACATATAAACAGTCCACTCACCGCCATTTTGTTAAGGTGGAAGTTGCCTTCGTAGTATAGCCCAAACTGGGTGACCACCACACCATGCCCTTGACATACGTCGTCCTGCCACATGCCCATGTACTTCTCTCCCCTGCACAGAAATAAGAAAACAAAGATGAAAGCCAAATAAAACAAGGACACAGTGAGAAAAAGCTCCTCTTACAGGGACCTCAATTACACACCTGGTCTGGATTGCTGCCATCACCCTGGTCAAAGTGGCTCACTCCATCTTCTCAAAGAGAAGACACTGTGATAGCCAAGGACATGTCAGACATGCGGCACTCCCACAGGAGCCTGACACACTACCACACACTACCCAGCAGACTGAGAACACTCCACACACTTCCTTGATAACTTCAAGATGTGTTATGAAATGGCTATGGTGGAGTGTCCTTTTAATTCCCAACACTCACCAGGCAGATCTCCGAGAGACCAAGACGAGCCAGAGCTACACAGTGTGACTCTGTCTCATAATAAAATATGTAATTAAAAAGGAACATCACAAATTTAAGTATAATTGAATCAAACCTTTGAATAATTTTCCTTCCTAAAGTTTGTCATAAAAGATTTAAGTTTTACCCACTTAAACTTAGAAGGTTTATTTTACCATCTCTACTAAAATAATAAAATATGAATTAGGTACGGTGAGCCACTGTTACAATCCTACCACTTGGAAGGGTAAGTCACTGGAGGATCAAGTTAGAGCCAGACCTAGGCTAGAGAGAAGGACCTTTTCTCAAAGAGAGAAGAAAAACATAAAATAAGGCAAGAAGTAGCTTGGTGGTGCATGCTCAAAGCCCTGGGTAGAGGGAGACAGAGGTATATAAACTACTTGTTAAATCATATAGTTTGCTGGGCATGGTGGTGCACACCTTAAACCCAACACTCAGGAAGCAGAGGATCTCTGTGAGCTCCAGGCCAGCGTCATCTACATTATGAGTCCCAGGCCACCCAAGGGAACATAGTGAGATCTTGTCTCAAAAAAAAAAAAAAAAAAGAAAAAATATCTATGGTTTGGAGATTTAAAAAAAAATTAAATTTTTTACATTGTATATATTCAATTTGTGTGTTTGAGGGTAGGGCATGAATGGAAGTCACAGCCCATGTATGGAAGTCATAGGACAATCTGTGGAGTCAGTTCTCTCTTCTACCATGTGTCCAGAGATGGAACTCAGGTCCTTAGGCCCAGTAACAAATGTCTTTACCACAGAGTCATCTTGCTGGCCCATAAAAGTAATTAAAAAGAAATTCACGGGCTGGAGAGATGGCTCAGCAGTTAAGAGCACTGACTGCACTTCCAGAGGTCCTGAGTTCAAATCCCAGCAACCACATGGTGGCTCACAACCAACTGTAATGAGATCTGATGCCCCCTTCTGGTGTGTCTGAAGACAGCGACAGTGTACTCATATATAATAAGTAAATAAATCTTTAAAAAAAAAAAAATTCACATGATGACAGAACCTGGTGGCACATGCCTATAATCCTAATATAATGAGAGGAATGGGAGAGGGGATCAGGAGTTCAAGGCTAGCTTTAAGGCTATCCTCAACTCACTCAAATAAACAAAAAAAACACAAAAAATTCCCATATTACAGAAGCTATGGTGCTTAACATAAAGAGGGGTAGTACATTAAATCCAAAGTAAATTAGACCAAATCAAATATGAGAGCAAAAGAGTAATACTGCTCTCTAAGGCTTGGTTACCTGAATTTAAGGAGGTGGGCTTAACTCCTGGTGTGTGAGCATGACAGGAAGAGGTACTATATTTAACACAGTCAATGTCCAGCCCCAATGGTGCTGGTCTGTCACTGATCCCTTCTGCCATTCCTACTTCCTACTGACTTTCAGTAAAGGTTTTTTTCTGTATAATAAAGATATGGAAGGCACAGGATATAAGTCAGTTGGTGGAACGCTTGCCTGGCACACCCAAAGCTGTGTTTTTGAGCTTCAGGACTGCATAAACCAGGCATGGTGGCATACACCTGTAATCCTAGCACTTAGAAGATAGAGAGTGGAGGGTCTAAAATTTAGGTTCATCCTTGACTGTGTAAGGAATCTGAGACCACCTTGGGCTACACAGCTGATCAAGTAAAATTAATTAATTAATCAACTAGTTAATTAATTAAAAGATTTGGAAGCTTTTTTGAGGCAGTAAAACCTTTGTATATGTAAAAACGTAGGGAAAAAAAAAAAAAAAAACAATATCCATGTGAATTTTGAATGTTCCTGACTTTGTGAAGTAGTTTATTGTTTGGCCCATAAGGGGAAAAAAAAAAGATTCCTGACAACTGTTTCTTTATGGTAAGTTCTCTTTTTCTTTTCATTGGTGTGCTGGGTGAAGTGAACTAAGTCTCACTATGTTGCCCAGGCTGGCCTCAAACTTTAGATCTTCCTGCCTCAGCTTCTCTCAGCTAGGAACACAAGCACACACCTCTAAGTGTCACCATCCCAAACCAAAACGTTTCCTTAATGCTGTCAAATTAAGACGCTGCAGTTGGTGCTTCTTGAGTGTAAGACGTTCAAGTCTTCATCATCGGGGGCTAGAGACATGGCTCAGCAATAAAAAGCTTGTACTGTTCTTACAGAGGACCAGAGTTCAGTTCCCACCCCCCACATCTGCAGCTCACAACCACTAGTAACTCCAGCTCCAGAGTATTATCCAATGGCCTCTTCTGTCCTCCTCAGACAATGTACTCATATTACACAGGCATGCATGTACACACGTGCACACATGTGTAAGGAAATAGCGTGAGGGGTAGGGACATTATCTTCTCACTGTACACACTGTACACACTGTACACACCGTACACACCGTACACACCGTACACACTGTACACACTGTACACACTGTACACACTGAGACAGAAGCAGAGTGCTGTACCTGGTGATATCATCGAAGACACCGTATCCTGCTTTCTTATCCATTACCCACTGGCCAATGAACATGCTAGGCGAAGAAGACGTCAGCTTTCCACTCCGGAGAAGACCATGCCCATGGCGCATGTTATCTTGAAAGCAGCCTTCAAACACTTCACCAGAGGCATAGCTGTGGTTGGAAAGAACAGAAAGATAACATGCACATTACAAAGGGCTTATGGGTACCTATAATTATGTTTACCATTATTGAGCATTAAAAAATCAAAAACCCTCTAGTTTCAAGAACTGAGCCCCAAAAATCAAAGATAACATGAATAATATTTTGCATTAACATGAAAAATGTGTTTAGTCTCTTATAGGAATAAAATAATGAGCTATCAATGAGGAGGAAGAAGGCATAAAGTTTTCTCTAGATTATAGTCAAGTAAAGAAACAGACTTCTAGGTAAGACTTGTGTACAAAATCAGGGTTTATTCTACAGGTACAATGGAGATGTGAGCCACATTTAATAATATCATCATGCCAAAGAGGAAAGGATGCTCGTTCAATGACGACTTTGCACTCAGTTTTGGGTAATAAAAAGATAAAATCTACTCCTTAGAAATTCTGTCCGCACAAGCTTAAGCTCTACACGGATCTCTGAAGAGGCGGAATGAGACCAGCAACCTTTGAGATGCAGGTTGTTACCTGTAGACTCCTTGTCCACACATTTTCCCCTCTTTCCAATGGCCTACATAATGGTCGTCTTTGTTCAGGGCCTTGTTAGGGATTCTGTATTCACCGTACCTGCCAGGGAGAATAAAAAGAAGATGCACAGATGCAAAGTCTGAGCAAAGTGGCCCCCAGGCCTGCTCCTGAGTCCCTGGAGACGCTTTATTCTAAAGCTAATGAAGAGCAGGGCGCCTGTGCTCTTGCCTGTCTTCTTACGACTTCACAGCATCCCTCTGGGTAAGTCACGGTAGACAACAGCTCATGCTGTCTCATCTCTCTAGTAGGTAGAGTAAGACAGACAATACAAAGTCCCCTTTCCTTCTAAACCTATTTAAGATCTTAAAATCACAAAATTTGACATTATCACTCATGTACATTAACTTCTCTGCTTTATATATCTTTTAATAGTAAGATAATTTTTTCTTTAAGAGGACACAAAATATTTAACTGCCATAAATTTTTCTTGTAAATATATTTGGAATGTTAGAAAATCTAACGAGATGAGCCATGAGATGGCTCAGTGGGTAAAAGCATTAGCTACCTGCTGTCAACTTGGTGGCCCAAATTAAAATCTTCTGTTCACATAGTGGAAGGAGAGAACTGGATGTCAAAGTTGTCCTCTAGTCACCCATGGGGCATGGCACATGTGTACCCAGACACATACATTACACATAATGAATGAATGAATATGACAAAAAAAGAAAACAGCTGGGCGGTGGTGGCGCACGCCTTTAATCCCAGCACTTGAGAGGCAGAGGGAGGTGGATTTCTGAGTTCAAGGCCAGCCTGGTCTACAGAGTGAGTTCCAGGACACCAGAGCTACACAGAGAAACCCTCTCAAAAAACAGAACAAACTTATCCAAAATTGATGTCAGTAGAGTATTATTACAATAATGTCACTGCAAAATTCCCCTTTTAACAGGGAAACAAATTTGAAGTTACTTAAAAGCAGGCCAAAGGCACAGCTCAGTGGTAGAGCATTTGCCCAGCATTCCTGAGACCCTAGAGTCCATCCTCAACACAGGAAGCTGGGGGAGGAGAGGGAGGAGATGGGGCGGGTATTTCTGTAAAACCACTGAAAATAAAATGTCTCTATGTCCTCTGTGTAAAGTGACACTGCTGTGTCACCTGGCTGACATAAATATCCTCCATGTCTACAAGCCCTATATCTTCCACGTGAATCCTAACACCGCATTCCATGCCTACACAACACAAATCAACTGCTTGTCTGAAAACCATCCCAACACTGAGTAACTTGTGACCAGATTTAAATTACTCTCTGACTTAAGCCGTATGCTTACCCATCTTCCAGGCCATTCCTGAACATGCCAGAATACATCTTTCCATCAGGCCACTTCAGAACACCCCTGCAAGGCATGAGCAAAAAGTAATAACTGTCCACTAATGCTTCAGATAATCAATGTTCTTGCCATCATGTGACTGTCACCCTTCCTTCCCTGGAAACAAATATGAAGCATTCTTCACCTGCCATGAGGCTTCCCTGAAAGCCAGCGCCCATCGTAAGTGGCATCCTTTAGGCGAGTATCCTTGTAGAAAGTGTATTTGGCACTTCTTGAGATGGGTGGTTCCTGTCTCTGAACACTGCTGCCACCTCCGTAAAGTGGGAAATCAGACGTCCCCCTCAAAGCCTGATCCACAGCTTGGCTGATAGCCCGAAGCCACTTGGTCTAGAAGCAAAAAGCCCATGTCAGCAAGCAATAACCCATCCAGCACTACACTATGTGAACCACATAGTAAGCTTGCCTGGACCACAGAGTAAGACTCTACCTATAAATAGATAGATGATTGATAGATAGATAGATAGATAGATAGATAGATAGATAGATAGATAGATAGATAGATAGAATCACAAAGAACAATCAGGCATCATGGAGTACTCCGGTACTCCTGACACTAGACAGTTTAGTGCAAAAAGAATTCAAGGCTAGCCAGGGCTACATGACAAAATTGTTTCAGGAAAACAAAACAAAAAGGCAAAAATCTAGTTTTGATTTAATGGTTATTAATGAAGCAACATTTATTTCTTTTCTACTAACATAAAAGACAGAAAAGGCCAAAGTTAAAATCAATCACTAACCTTTTCCTGGGGTGTTGAAGAAATGAGCGTGAACTGTTCTTCAGGTGTGGTTATCTTTAAGCCATTCCTAAAATGTTCACATAGATAAGCACCAACAGATCCAGCAATAGCAGACATCCTTCCCCTCGCCGCTCCTCCCTCACCCCACGGGGAGAAGAGAACTAGCATAAGGGCTCCTGCTTTAAATCTGAGCTCCACACAAGGGACAAAATACAGAGTAACAGCACTCTGTCACCACAGCATGCAAGCCATGGGGATGTCCACCTGCTGCTCACCATGGTCCTCAGACAGGACATTTTATTACTAAGGGGCACTTTACAACTATGTGTTGGGAAGTGAGGATGAGAAGCCAGCTTCCAAACCTGATCACCCCACTTAAGGAAATAGAAGTAGGAGAAGAAGCACTCACACGCTACCCGCTTCTTCAGAAAGTGGCTCTGCCCAGAGTGTAGCCAAAGGGAACACGTGGTGGGTGGAGAACTGAAGGAGAACATGAAGGCACATCTGTGAGTCCACACCACCCACCACCCTCAGGTCTCTAGTAAGTCTTTTCACGGCATTATAGTACATGCCCCTTGAGACAATTAAGAACTGGTGGGTGGCATCATCTCTGCTATATCACCAGCACATCGCCACCTCTGGTGGGTCTTGTATCTCTGATACAAGGACCCTTAACATGGCTGACATTCATTCGCAAGCTAGAAAAAAAAAATTGGCTCAGCATGCAGCTTAAAGAGAGAGGAGGTGTTTCATTTTTAAGAGTTCCTGCATTCAACCCCAACTAGCAACCACAAAACAAAAGAAACAAAAGTTCATATACAGTGAACACTAGAGGAGATAACTAAACATTCTCTTATTCAATAATTACAAGTAAATCACAACAATGCCTAGCAGAAGTTGACAGTATACAGCCATGTGCTATATGGTACCATTATCAGTCACAATACAATGACAGTCCCAAAAGCAACACTAGAGAATTCCTTTTGCCTAGTGATCTCATAGCTACCATAGTACACCACACACTCATGTGTCTATATATATTCAGATGCACTAACGTTTACCATTGTGTTATGACTGCTAACAATCTTCAAGTACAATAACCTGCTGTGTGGGTCATAGCCTGGCAGCACCAGGCTGTACTGGATAGCCTGGGTCTACAGTAGGCTATACCTTCCAGATTTCTATGAGTACACTGACATTTGTGTAACAGTGAAAGTGCCCAATACCACATTTTCAACACAGCCCATCATGAAGCAGCTCACAACTGTCCACTTCCCAAGGCCTCTTTTTGGCTAAGAATCCAGCCTACCTGAGCATGGACCAGGGCGTCATTGAAGAGAATGAACCAATTCACAGAAAACCTGCCAGCATGCTGCAGGGAGAGGGCTCGGTTACTGCTCTCACAGAGCAGCCGGCGCTCTGGTTTCCTCAAGGAATCCTACAAGCGAGGGAATAAACTTCAGTGAGCCCTCAGACTTACTTCAGTGTAAAGAGGATGAACAAGATTTAAGAAATACTTAGGGGAACCTTTTAGTCATAGTTTATTGCTGCATCAGATTTTTCCTAAAACTACATTTGAGGAACACACAAGAGAATAAAACAATAGCAAGCAAACCAAAGGGCAAAGGCTGCAGAGGACTCCTGAGAACCAGGGAAGGTGTGAGGATTCAGAACACTCATGACTGCATTCTCAGAAATGCATCATCCAATGCTAGCTACTGCTACCAACAATCGAGGAGCAGAGAAAGGAGGGCTGGAGAAAGCAGCAACAGTGGGCAGGGTTACCGTCATTTTTCCAGGAAAGGTCTTCCAGAAGCTCAGTGTGTACTCTGCTTCCTTCCTCTTCTTGCCAAGATGGAGAGCAAGAGACTCATAACAAGAACTGGAATCCTGCAGCTTTTGATACTCTGGAGATGTCTAGAGACCAATGAATAAAAAGGTAAGTGCGTAAAACATTGTTCACGAACTTCAGACGAGTCACAGTCAACCCAGGAAGATGATTCAGCCTGAGAACACAGGTGGCACAGTAAAGGGAGCCAGGGAACAAGCTGATCTCAGAGTACTCCAGTAGAGTGCGTGTGAACAGGGGCAGACACTGGCAACAGTCCTGGGAAGAGAGCTGCAGAACTGCAGGACTCAGAGGCAGTAGCCTCTTGCTTTGTTCTCAGGGTCTGTTGGTGTTGGACAGGTAGGCTGGATCTAACGATACTATCATGTGAGAAAATACAAATAATATAAAACTTATTAATTCACTTCAAACAAGATTATAAATAACAACTGTCATTTCCCAAACCATGAAGAGTTTTAACTGAGAAAAACGGCCCTGGCTCACACTCTTTAAGAGTCCCGTTATCATTAAGATAACAGCTGTGCTGTGCTTTTAATCTGTTATGTTATACTGCTTAGTAGAAACAAACATAGAAAATTTGATTTTATAAAGATAGCTAGTTTGAAAATGGAGTATTTTAATAGCCATTTCAAATAACTGTGGATACTCTCCTGGTACATATTTTAAAAAACTTGCTAACCAGTAGTTTCCTAAAGGGTGTTGCAATCTGTAATCTGGAACACTGGCAATCAATGTTTCTACTGTTATATTAAATTAACTAATTAGGCTGATGCTATGGCTCAGTGGGAGAAACCGCTTGCAGCCAACCCTGTACCCCGGAGCCCACTTGGTGGAGAGAATTAACTCCTGCCAAATTGTCCTCTAACTTCAACTTGCACACGCGAGCGCACATACACACACACATACATATACAGTCAAATAAATTTAAATAATAAATGTCATTAACAACTTAATATAAAAATTCTTACTGTGTTAAAATCTACAGGTCTACCTTGGCTTTGAATATGTGATTCTGTAACACTGTGGTCTGAGCATTTGAAAAATACTAAATTATATACACCATCCAAATGATATCTTTCATACACTAAAAAATAGCATTGGTACTTTTCTCATCAGAAAAATATTTAAGTATTGAGAAACTGTCAGGCTCAAAATTACAAACACATGTCTCCATGTATTTTGCTGTGTCTGTAGACACAGGTATCGAAGGCTGCCAGACTAAAGGCAGGGTTAGCTGTATTTCCAGAAGGATATGCCAAGCACATGAACAACACCCTGGGATGACAAACCAGATGGAGAGAAACACTAAAAACAGAAGAGGGTGTCTACTATGTGGGCCTTGATGGCCAACTAAACGGACTCCTCGTTCTCAGAATTAGCCCTGCAGGCTAGTTACAGAGTTTTTTTGGACAAGGTGTTACCATGTTTGGCCTCATACTCTTCATCCTTCTGCCTCTCAGCCCTTCATGTGCTGGGATTGCAAACAAGTGCCCCCCACACCCTAATTTTCCAAACAATTCTAATCTGATCTAGTAACGATTTTTTTCTTTATTGACTGAGATGAAGTCTGTAGCCCATTGTGTTCTGGTTGCTCAAACTTGCATGGTTAGCCTACAACAGTTTTAAGTTAAAACTGGAACCAGACTGAAAAAAGAAAACCCTACAAGACCACAGGAGGATCTCAAGGAGAAGCTCTGATCAGTCCCTCCACTGTGGCCTGCAGTCAGCCTAGATCAGGAGGCAGACCAGGATGTGAAGGATTTAAGGGACCTCGGGGCTGGTACAGTTTCTCTGGAAACAAAGTGAAATCACATTTCCTGGCATGACTCTACTAAGAACCCAGGCCAGCTGGCAACTGCACCTCAGTAACGCCTCCTCTCCCTCCCCTCCAGAATTGATGCGACTCAGAGTCAGCATGAACTGCACCCCCTGACACAATGAAGGAGCAGCTCTCACTGTGGGCTTTCACAGATCCACAAGAGAACATGGTCTGAATAAGGTCCTGAGCAGAAACAAATCCACAGTGTGGAAAACAAGCTCGCTCTAGCCCGCTTATCCTTTCTATGTCTACTAATTCACAGAGAAAGAAATCTTAATTAAACACACATAAATATTAACTTAATGGGGCTCAACATGTTAAGGTGACTTAATCCAAACAAACTACTTTGGCTTCCCAGGCATTCAGAAAGGCACATAGGAAACTTACCACTTCAAAGCAAGTAGCGAGCTTTAGCAAAACTTTTGCATAATTATGAAGTCGTCTGATTGGCAAGAAAAACAGTGTATTTAGTATTTCCATCAACTGAGTGTTCTCATCATTCACTTCTGACAAATCTTGCAAGAGTTCTTGGTTTTTATTTAGAAAATCACTGGAAAAGCGGGAAAAAGAATCAGTGGATCATCTGGTATGAATGGTATGAATGATATGACAGAAAATGTCACTGCAGTAACTGTTCTGAATGGACTGCCTAGGTGTTATAAAATGAATATAGATACAATAACATGACCCAGATATGAATAACAGAATTATAATATTTTTACCTGTAAAATAGGACTTTAAAGTGCAAAGTATAGCAATGGTAGCAACATAAAAGAAATGGTTAGTAACAGATCCTTCCCCACGTTCTAGGAAATGAGTCAGGCATTTCACTGTTTAAGGGGATAAATGACAAATGACACTATTCTGCTATTTTCACAGCTCAAAGTCAAAGGAATCTGGCAAGTCTGGCCACTGCTCCAGAAACTCCAGTGGAAAAGCAAGCTCCTTGTTCAAAGTACTAGCATGGAACCAAATACTTCCAAGTTCTTCCTTCCCTTCCACTGTCAACACAAGCTGACCACTGGATTATAATTGCAGGACTAAGACAAGCCAGGTGTGGTGATACACACCTGTAATCCCAGTAGTCAGGAGGAAGAGGCAGCAGGGTCAGGAGTTTAAGGAGAACCTCAGTTACACAGCAAGCCGAAACCCAGCCTGGGCCTCCCTGTCTCAATAATAGTAATAATAATAAATAATAATAATAAATTAACAAACTCTAAATTTATGAATCTGAAAAACTAGTAGGTGAACACAAATGAATCAAGAGAAATTGATGAAATGTAAAACAAGAGTCTGCGCCCTTCCCTAAGGACTCTTGAAGGTTGGTTACTATGGAGGGAGAGGCACTTTCTTCAGTGGTATAGTCAGTCACTAGTAAGATGCCCTGGAATAACCATGCTCCTGGTAAAAGCAAGCTTAACAATAACACTGGAACAAAAGGAAAGACATGAAAACAATTAAAAATAACATTTAAAAAAAGAGCCATGAGCCAGGCTGCGGTGGCGCACGCCTTTAATCCCAGCACTTGGGAGGCAGAGGCAGGCGGATTTCTGAGTTTGAGGCCAGCCTGGTCTACAGAGTGAGTTCCAGGACAGCCAGGGCTATACAGAGAAACCCTGTCTCGAAAAACCAAAAAGAAGGGCCATGAAAGAGGAAGGGTAGTAATTGAGAAGAGGAAGGGATAGAGGGTGTGGGAAGAGAGGGAAATGGGATCAAAATACAGTCTACACATATATGTACATGCTGTAATAAATTTTTATTATGTATAATTAATATATGCTAATATAACCTTTTACAAAATGAGAAACAGCAACCACTCTTTGAAAATATTAAAAAGAAGCAAACTTCTGACAAGATTGATTATAATTTGAAAATTATAAATAAATAAACTAGACTCCAGCCAGGAAAGAGAGCCCCATGCTGTCAGCCTCCAATCATAGAGAACAAAACAAATAGCCATTGCTGGGGCATAGTGGCCTAATTTTTACCTGTAGGTGGATATTTATTTACAGTCATCCCTCCAAGGCTGAGGGATCACTGAGGAAGAAGGGACAGAAGAATCTAGAAGCTGGAAGAAGAGTAAAGTGTCATGCAGCAGTTTCCTGTGAGACTGAAACATTGCACCCTGCAGGGAAGATCCCAAGCAAGAGTCCAAATACTTGCAGGAAGTACCTAAAACTGACCAGATTCTCCAGGCCCCTTCTTCCCAGGAATAAATAAGTTTAGTTGTAAAGACTCTTGAGACCAGACCAGTTGCCTGAAAGAGGTTTACACTAGAGTCACTTGGAAAGGACACTCTCCAACCTGCTGAGCTGCCTGCAGGCTGTGCAGTGGGCTCCAGGTTCTCAGCTTTGTCAAATGTCACCTGTGCTGGGAGGGGCTTTGTTAATGCAGCTGTCTTTGAGTCATTTCTGCTTCTGTATGTAACTCTTCACTCATATTGCTATTAAGTAATCCCAACAAAAGTCATTGGTTCACAAAAACAAACAACTAAATAAAAGTGACAGCGATGAACAGGAGAAGGAGACCTGCAGCTACACGGTGACAGCATGGGGACAATGCTAGAGGTTAGCAGAGCAGAGCGGATGAAACGAGCAGCTTTTCAAAGAAGGAGCCCCAGACAGGCCTACGCAATACAGAACCATACTAGTAGGTTTGAAAATCCCCATAGTAAACACTGCTATTGCAGGGTACACAGTTCTTCACAGATACATTCTACCCAATCTTCAGAATACAGGCAACCCCTGACTAGTACCAACTATTCCAGAAAGCAGAAGAGGAGAGAAAGCACCTGAACTCATTCTATGTCTAGTAATGCTAAAAAGTGCAAAGGTCAGAAAAGAAGAGTTAGATTAACAAACCCAGAGTGACACCAACATCCATCAACATCGGGAGAACATGAGCTACCCAGCCAGACCTGGGAAGTGTGGGTGGTGACTGAATACTTGAAATATTTTCTACCAAAATATAGAATGCTTCAGTTTGCCTTACTATTAGATCCATCTAAAGGCTACATGCAAATACGCTGTGTGAGATAGGCTTTTCTGGGACCATCACAGACATTATCTGCTCTTTACCAAAAGGGGAGAAAACATTCAGATGGAAACAAAGTCGGCTTCCTGCTGTGAAAAGAGTTGACCAAAGCATCTAGCAAAAAGCAGTGCTGAAGAAGGGTGGTTTTACACCTTTGACTTCAGTGCTCTTTGAGAACACTACTACACCTAGTGACAGTCAGGGCTAACAGGCCCTGTCCTGTTATGTTAATGAAACTCTACACTTTGATTCAATGGGTAAATAAATGTCCATGCCAACACTTCCCATGGCACTCCCAAACACCAAACTATAGAATATAATCTAAGATATGGAAGCCTACCACTGTAGAAGCTTCCTAATATGTATAAAATGAGTCCAAATGAAGTTATCATGTAGTGGGGAAGACAATACCCCAACTAGACATCATATGCTACCAAATAAAACCCTCAGTACCAAGAACAAGCTACAACAGTAGTGATGGGCCTACGAGGCACGCTCACTGCTGCAACAGTGGCACAGTGTTATGAGATAACCACATTTCTTTTTAGTTGCATTTAAGGCTTACTACACAGGATGGAACCTATATAGCGTGCCACTGTTAATGAGGTCAAGAACCTGAGCATAGATAAGGAAAGCCTACTATTCTTATTCTGCTAAATGAATGTGGCAATAAAACAACTCCTAGTGACACACTGCTATACCCACTGATCAGTGCATTGCTCAGCCCTCATTAGAGAAGCTTCTACTTGCAGTACATGGTAATTAATTTAACACGGATCCACAAGTGGACAATATGCAGAGTAAAAGAGCACTCAAGCCTAAACGGGATGCCTTTATCACACTCCTCCCTCAAGGCTCAGGGATCGATGCAGAAGAGGAGGCAGAAAGATTTTAATTCCAAGGTGGTGACTTCAAGGAAACACCATCTTCCAGACGTAACAGGGCTGATAAACACATGAACTCACAGACAATGTGACAGTACACACACAACAATCAGGGAGACGCTTGGGAAGGGTAAAGAATATGATTAAAAATATTTTGTATGAAACTCTAAAAAATTAAACAAAAACAGAAAAAATAAAACAAAAACAAAACAAGAACTGAAAACCTGTAATCTATGGCTGTGAGAAGGATAACTGAAAGGTGTAGATTACTTACATGGCAGGCTTGGCAAGAAGCTGGAATCCTCCCATAACCAGGAAATTTGAAACTGATGTGCAGTACCTTGGGTGGAAAAACCAGACACATAGGCATTAGTGATGGAGTGAAGTTTCAATGCACGTCTAGACACTTCTGAAATCCTCCTCATGAACTGGAATACTTTGTGACCTCAGTGCTAAAGAGAAGACAACAGGGAGACTCAGCAGGGGAGTGACCGATGCAAGGTCAGTAGGGACATTAACATACAGGGATTGCAAAAGCACTTGTGCCATTCAGACCTGCCTGGCAGGTGGCACTTGCTAACCTAACAAGCCAGAGAAAACATGGTTGAAACTGGAGGATTTTTAATGAAAATTTAATCTTCATTTCAAGTTCTCCAATTAAGTCTTGAGAAAATGAATGGTGAAGGCTACACTGGGGGTGAGGAAGGCCAAGAGTAGAATGCAGCCAGTGCTCTGGAGCGAATGGAGGGAAGCAAGCTGCTCTGATCAGGAACACTCCCTCATACTCCTGGGCTAGCAAGCAACTGATACTGACAGAGACAGAGAGTCTTATGAAAAAGGAGCCCCGGTGGTAGAATCCTTTAAGATGTAAATTAGTTTCATTTATCCTACCTGTAGGAATAACTATTCCATTTTAAACAGTAGCCCAAGGCATCAAAAACTGCTTTTTAAAGCAAAAGGCCATAATAGAAAAAAATGGAGGTATGGTGGTAAATACAAGACAAAAACAGAAAACTGCACTAATAAAAGCTGAAACTTCACACAAATAACAATGTCTAATTGTAAAAATAAATTAGTGTCAAGTTCTATCATTTTTTAATGTTTGATGAGTTAGAAGAATAAAGTAAAGATATTTCTTCCTAGACAACAGCTTCCAGTAAATTTAATTTGCCTAGGGCTGAAGTCACTTATACTAAGTCTGAAAGGAAAATACTAAGGTAATTGCAGGAGGTTATTTCAACCGGTGGGGGGGAAAGGGCAACTTTAATTATCCTTTGATTAGCATTGCCCATAGCTTTCGATAATAAACACGTGTACATTAGTCCTTGGGATATTTATAACCCAAGAAAAACACGGGCATGGCAGGAACTCCCTGGCAACAGGTGCTTCTCACTGACCCCATGCTGTAACTCTGTGCAGGGCCTGGCACTTGGTGACACTGAGTCAGTTTCTATCAGATGGATGGAGAATAAATCAACAACACATACTTCAGACCAACAGTATCATCTGGTCTACTTTAAAATAACAACTAAATTAATGCCTTAATCATGATACCAAAATACAAATCAAGAAAAACCGAGAAATGGCTTAAGTTTACAAATATACTTGGCATATTTTTCTTACAAAACATGAAAAGAACCTTGAGTAGTCAGCCATCCTTGGTGTCATTCAGAAAGCACGGTTATGTTAAATGTAGCTAGAGTGTCCCATCACACAGCAGTAAAAAGCAGGCTCAGAACAACTTCACACTCACAGCTGCTCTGTAAATAAGTTTGTTCCTAATACTTGGGTATAATTTACTTAAATAAACAAAGTAAACAGTCATATGACAGAATATTGTGTGTAAATAAAGTGTGCTATCACTTGCTGTTGAACATAGAAGGGAATATGAAAACTCCTTGTTGTTAACCTTTCCCCTTAAGGAAGAAGACTGAACTTGAGGACTGCAGAGCTATCACTGGCTATGGTTAAACACTGCTTTTCAGTTCCACCGCCTAGCAGCACTGTTCCTGCCCCTCTCCCCTGACGGAGGACCCATGCAGATTCCCCTTGCTGAGGAGACTGAACATGACATGGGACTGATACTTGCTCTGTGTAACTGTCCAAGAAAAGACTCGAATGCTTCATGATGACCAGGCTCCTGGCTTCCTTCACACCCTGCAGGTAGCTGCTTAGTGAGGCTCCATGCTGCCCAATAAGGTAACACAACTTGCTAAACCTGCTGGCGACTTCCTGCAACAGCTGGACAGTGGTCACAGTGCCCAAATTTTCTGCAACAAAATGATAACAACATGAAAACCAAATGCTTTCTTATAAGTTTTCTCTGAGAATACTTAACTCTGTTGAAATAAATTCTAATCTATGGAACCCAAATCACTTCCAAAAATGTTACAAAAATCAACTTCAGTAATCCCTGAGATGGCTCAGTAGGTAAAAGTACACAAGCTATGCAAGCAGGAAGACCTGGCCCACAGACTCAAGTGGGAAATGGAAGTGAGGCGGCAGGCGGATCCCAGAACTTGCTGCCACCAGCCTAGCTAAAAACTAGTGAGCTCCAGGTTCAGTACGAGACCCTGAATCAAGGAGTAGGATAGATAGTGACAGAGAAGAACCCAATGTTCTCCTCTGGGCTCAGTACACCTCTGCACTCATGTGCACATAAGCCATACCCACGACCTTATCCATAGGAACTGTCAGGTCTCTGATTCAGTAGATTTGGTTTTAGCAACTCAGGATGGATGATTCTTTTAAAAGTTTCCCAGGTGTTTTTGTTTTGTTTTGTTTTTAATAACAGCCAAAATGGCCGGGCAATGGTGGCGCACACCTTTAATCCCAGCACTTGAGAGGCAGAGGCAGGCGGATTTCTGAGTTCGAGGCCAGGCTGGTCTACAGAGTGAGTCCCAGGACAGCCAGGACTACATAGAGAAATCCTGTCTTGAAAAACCAAAAAAAAAAAAAAAAAGAGACCCAGTGAAGCTAATACCTGTTAAATTTTGAAAATAGTTAATGTAAAACAAAAAGAGAGAAGTGAATAATTTAATTTAATTTCATACAGTGATAACAGGGTAGCAGCCAAGAATTAAATTCACTTCTACAAATAGATATTTTTCTTTTTTGAGATGACTTTGAACTTTCATATCCTCTGATTCTCCCTCCTATAAGCTAGGTTACAAGTATATGCTACCATGCCCTGTTTTATGCAGTGCTGGGAACTGACTCAGGGCCTCAATCATGCCAGGTAAGCGCTCTAGCAACTAAGCTACACCGCAGCTTGGACTCAGCTCTTACTTAGCATCTTAAACTTTTCGCACTAGCTGCTGGTCCACTTGGCCCAGGGAGAAGCCCAGCTCTTCACCACACGGGTAACCTGCACTTCAGGTGGCCTAGGTCACTCTCAGTTTAGAGGGCATCGGCTAATTATCTGACTTTCCCACGCTGCAGTTCCTCATTTCATTCACCAACAGAGAAACCAAGACTTGGTCAGACAGGAGACTCTCCTTTCTTTAGAACTACCCAGAAAGTCCCCGTTGTTTCCTTCTCTTGCCTAAATCCCATAGTTCCTGAGCCCATCCTAGGGAGGTTTTACACAAAAGGGGCTCTAGAACTCTTACAAAGGAAAATAGATTACAAACAAACAAAAAAATAAAACGCAAACCCTCAAGTTACATAAGGACCATATTCCCAAATGTGGTTACACTAGTCAGGAGAGGTGGTCCAAGCCTGTAGCTGCAGTACTGGGGCAAGGCATGAGGAATGGGAGTTCAGTCATCTTTAGAGATTTGAGGGCTAACCAGGACTATATAAGACCCTAACTCAAAAACTAAAGAACAAATAAAATCCAAATAAACAAAAGCAATTTGCTGAGTTGGCTGTTATAGAAGGTATTTTTCCATTAGAAAGAATGAGTTCAGCACACAAGCCCACACTTCCTTACTAAAAATGACCATTAGCCTAAATCCTGAGCCCTAACAGTGGCTACAGAGTAAGAGAAAAACGTCATCTCTGTTTTCTGTGTACAGGGTCAAACCTAGAAAAACTGGCAGGCCAGGGAAAGGTTGTTTTGCTTGCTGAGAGGTTGTTTGTTTCTGAGACAGGGATTTATCATATGGCCCAGCTCCCAATCCTCACTATGTGTGCCTTGCTAATATCCTAGAGACCACAAATACCCTGGAGACAAGGATGGGGCACTATCCCAGGGGCTATGGGAACTACTTCCTCTGCCTAACTGTGTCACTTCTAACTCTTCTCTGTGACTGAATAAACATCTAGTTAATTGACTCATATATATGAATGATACAATTCTAAGAACTGTAAGAAAAGAATTAGGAGGAAAAAAAAAATCCATGGAAGTTAAACAGTGTGTAAGGACTAGAATGCAGAAGTATTGCTCAAGTCTAGTTTCTAAAGATAACTTCCCAAAGAAGATACTTTTCTCTTCAGCCACATCTTCCTAAAGCTCAAGGCTCTGTGAGTACAGGAAGAGGAGCTCAGGGGACTATGAAGACAGAGTTGGGGCACCCAGGCATGTAGGTGTGAAATTACTTGGGGCTGGGGTGGGCTGTGTGGGATAAACCATTAACACAAACAGCTTTCTTAAAGCAAGGCACAGTGGCACAGGCTTATAGCCCCAGGTAATGGTGAGACTGAGGTCAGCCTGGGCCTTAAACAAACCAACCAACCACAAAAAAGGCAGGCATGGTAGCTTGCAACTGCAATCTCAGCAACTGGATGGTGAAGACAAAAAGGTCAAGAGTTCAAGATCTTCGTCAGCTATGTAGTGAATTGGGCCCAACCTGGGCTACAGAACACCCGGTCTAAAAAGCAAATGAGCAAACAAACAAATAAGCTCTTGACACTACAGAAAGAACAACTAAAACGAGAGCCCTGGTGATCTGGGGATGTGGGCAGTGGAAGATGTCAACTTACCTAAACTGAGAAGAGGTCTAAGTATCTGTGATTTGATTTCGCTGAGTTTTGAGTAAAACCGTCTTTCCGTAGTAGCCAACTCATGGAGACTGGCAATGTATCCCATGATGTTCTTGTCCGCCAAAGCTAAATAGCTATCTTTTCCTGCTGTGACTCTGCTTATATATCCAAGCTAAAACAGGTGGAAAATGAAAATATTAAAGATAAAATATGATTTATAGACATTGATCTGGCATGTTGTATAGGCTCACAGTGGCAGACAGGAGCTAAAGATTCGAATACCCAGGAGCTGGTAAGCAGGTTATCGAACTGCCAACAGCTTAAAAGTGAAGATTTACAAAACAGTGCATATCAGAGCTCTCCTCATTTGCTGTGGAGATGGTGTATTCACACACCACTGTTCAATGTGAGTAACTGTATACACCTACTTCTATTCGTCTCCAAAATATCTTAGACATACAAAGACCCAAATGATAAGAGCTGCATATCTCAGAGACCTTTAATCTCAACACTAAGGAGGCAAAGCCAGGCAGATCTCTGTGAGAGTGAGGGTAGGCTGGTCTATAGAGTGAATTCCTGGAGGGCCAGTCAGAGTTACAAAGAAAACTCTATATCAAAAAAAGCAAAAACAAAAAGAAAGAAAAAAAGAGAGAAGGAAAGAGAGAGAGAGAAAAAAGAAAGAAGGAAAGAAGAGTTATACATCTCAAGACTCACTCACATGAGACAAGATTAGTGAGAATGAGGAGCCCTGAGCCATAGCAAGGCCTCTGTACTGTCTCATCTCTTACAAGTGTCAACACAGGGCCAGATATGATGGCTTAGGCCTATAATTCCAACATTCAGGTGAAGCTTGAGGAATGCTGGCAGTTCAAGGCCATCCTGGCTACATACTGAGTTCTGGGTTAGTCTGGCCTACAGTGTGAGACCATGCATCAAGAAAAAGAAAAAGAAAAAGAAAAAAAGAAAAAAAGAAAAAAGAAAAAAAAAAGCACTGGTGTGGTGGCACACAGCTGCAATCCCAGACAGAGGATCAATTTGAGACCAGCCTTGAATATGAGACTCTACTTCACAAATCAAAATCAAAAAACAAAATAAGGAAAACACAGAAGTGCTTCTAGATATTGGCCTGGATAAAGATTTTTCTGGATATGACCTTAAAACACAAGCAGCCACAGAAAAGCTGACAAGGATGAAGGGAGCAGTAAAGTAAAAAGACAATCTGTAGAACAGGAGACAATGCCTTTGGACTATTCATCCAACGAAGGGGTGATATCCTGAGTGGAAAAGGAACTGAATAATCTCAGGAGCAAAAAACCCCAAATAATCCAGTTGAAAAGTGGGAAACTGACCTAAGTAGAATTTCCCAGAGGATACTCAAATGGCCAACAGAAAACACTTTGGCCATCACCAAAAAGACAACAATAAAGGACTTACAAGAACATGGGAAAAAAAGGTACTCCTACAACTGCTGATAGGAACTTAAATTAGTATGGCTAGCAAAAACAAAACAAAAACAAAAAACAAAAAACAGGATAGTGGCCCCTCAAACAAACAAACCTATAAAAAGAACTTCTACACAATCCAGCAACCCCACTACTCAGTATTTCCAAAGGAGCTAAAATCAGTATGTCAAGATGGTATCTGTAGTCACATGCTATTCACAATGGCCAAGATACAGAATCACATAGGCACCCCTTGTCAGAGATATGCATAAAGAAAGTAAGTAATGTGTATCTAATAGAATACTATTCAGCCCCTAAAGTGAACTTTTGCTATTTGCAAAAGCAAGGCCAGGACTGAAGGGCAGAGAGTGAAACCAATCAGGCGCAGAGACACAAAGCATGGCCTCAGTAACTGACTAGAAAGCAGTGGTTACCAAAGGGAGTGAGGTCAGGAGATGGGGAATGCAAACCGGGAACTGCAAGAAGGAAGAAAATGTCTGATGCTGCACTTAGGAAACAGAGGCAGGAGGATCTACATAGTGAGTTCTGAGACAGCCAGGGCTTTGCAGAGAGACCCTGTCTCACAAAACAAACAAAAGAATTATATGACTACCTCAAAATAGCCAGTAGAAAAGGATTCTGAATGTTCCTATCACAAAAAGAATGTCTAAGGTGATGGACGTGCCACTTACCCTGATATGGTCATTACCCATTGTACATGTGATGAATGTGACATGTAACCCACAACTGTCTATAGTTAGCATGTGCTAAGGTTCTTCTCTGAAAGGGACTTTTTTTACATTTGCCCTTCCTAGTATGAATAAAATTAATCAATGTCTTTATTCACATTTCCTCACTAAACCACGAAGGCAGGCTGTACACTGTGGATATTAGCCTTCTGAGGAAATTGGTGACATACACCAGAGCCTCATCCCTTTAATCCTTTATCGAGATTGAAGTCTTTCACAGGGCATGTGGTGACAGGCCAGCTATTGCCCAGGACCAATCATCATGCCACAAAAAGACTACATGTAGGTCAAGAGCCAAACCTTGGCCAATGCTGTCTTTGGCAATTAAAGTCTTGTCTCAATACATTCAGAGCTTACTAACAAGAAAGCCAAAGACTAACTACAGTCCACAAAACATATTTTTCAATGAGAATAGAAAATCTAGAATGTACCAGCACTGAGGGCTATATCCTCTGTTGACATGTCTCTGTGAAGATGTGAGTTACTTGAAAATGGGAAAAGAAGAAACAAGTTAATGGTATAAATATGTAAGTAAATGAGGCAGGAATTAGAAAAGCAGATATTAATGTGGATCTTGGAAAGAGAAAGAAGCAGCTAAGCTAGCACAAATGAAAGCCAAGGGAACAGAGGCCCAAGGTAAGTCCTGCCAGCAACTTGTTGGGACCCTCTCTATGAGCTCAGCTCAGGACCCTCAAGTTAGTTCTGTCCACTAACACAGAGAACTTCTGATATAATTCACCTGAGGGCTCTGGGAGACTTCACTGCATGACTATGTTCCAGTACTAGCTTAGCAAGAGAGAAATGAAAGAAAAACAGCTCTGAGTGTCGGGTGGTGGCACCAGGGGTTAGTTCAGGAGGTGAGTTCTTCTCCAATGCACACAAACTTGAGTTCCAATCCTAGCATCACAACCAAAAGCAAGCAAATAGAAAAGCACAGCTGTGGTATTCCTCCTGGAGAGTGCTGCCTCAACAACTGCATATAAAGTATGTACTCTGCTGGAGCATGATAGCACACACCAGGGATCCCAGGTCCTCAGGAGAAGGTGGCAGAAGTTCTGCACAGCAACTTCCAGGCCAGCCTGGGCTGCATACTTATCGAGACCTTGCCTTAACAAGATAACAAAACAGCATACACAGACACAGAGATGAATGGAGGAGTCACAAAGCCCTACCCCCATGGCCCTCACATTACAGTAGGGCAGCCAGCAGACAAGAACATCACACAGCACTTTACATGGTGATGGGTGCTGTGGGGAAGAGTACAGCAGGAAAGGAAGAGTGCGAAGGGAAGAGTGAGAAGGGCTTTGCATGGACAGTCACAGCAACATTCAAACACTCCTCATGCTACAGAATGTGGGCCTTAGGATCCAATTCCTACTGGAGTTCACCTTACTACAGGAGAGAAGTACTGGAGTCTTTGTACCACTGGAATCCTCTGGCAGGGTGGCACCTTCAGCACGGTCCTGTCGGCCACTGTAATACAATCCAGGCTGGAAGTCTTCGGTGTCCACTAAAAACAAGGAATAATCTTGGCCTGCAGCTACACTCCAGACTCCATTTTCATTGCTAACCTGAAATGACAGAAAGATACCATCTGTCCAAGGGAACCAAAAAGAACTCAAGTTGCATGGAACAGAACAGACTACTTAAGCCAGCATGAGGTAGTTAGCCCTGCCTGTGAGAGTGGACCTCTTCCAGCAATGTACCCACCTACTGTAGAATAGAGCAACAGTAAGACACCTCATGTTCAGCTTTTAAACTTGAATTAGACTCTTAAAAAAATCTGAAAAAGTAGACTATGGAAAGGAAAAAGCATAGCTCCTGGTTTTTAATGTTATTTTTGTAGGTGTTCATTAACAGCCTATTTTAGCTAACACATAGAATGTACCTTTGCCCATCCACATTTGGTCATGTGCCAAAAATCTACCTAAAAAGAAAAAAAAAATCTAGATAATGAAAAGGCTAGAATTCATTATTGCCAACTACACCCTTGGGTGTTGCGAGTCAGTTTCCCACTTGTAACTCACTAGCTCTCTGATGTGACTTCACTGTGCCAACTCCCAGGATGCTGAAACAGGCAGGACCCATGAGAAGCCATCTACGTGGACCTAGACCAGTGGCTCTCAAAAAGTGGTCTTTGCAGCAGCAGCAGCAGCAGCATCACCTGGAAACATGTTAGAAATGCAAACTCTCAGCCACAGATTACCCAGGAGGGATCTGGCTTTCAGGTGACTCTGACAAATGCAGACAAATGCAAACAAATTCTTGAGAACCAAGTTCTACACTGCTGGTTTTCAAACACTAGGACTCCAAATAGTAATCCAGGAGCTTGCATCAAAAGGCAGCAGCCAGAGTTCTAGGTGCCCTGCAATCCCCAACTTAATATTATTCCCCATTGTCCTGTCTGATGTACGACCTTCCTCATAAGACTTCATTAAGAAAGCATACTACAACAAAATACTACCCCCAACCTCCAGCTTCCTTCAACCTCTATGCAGATAAACCCTGTGCATCTAACCAGGCTCTACACACCAGATTACTGTGAGTGTGCACACACTGCCACTCCTTACATCTCAGCTACCTCCTCTGCACATGGCACTCTGTTCTCAAAATCAAGCCATCCAAATAACGGATTTCCAGTTCACTGTGAGAAGAATAAATCACCCAGTCTGTGTGTGTGAGATAGGGTGTCTGCTGTGTAGTCTAGGCTGGCCTTGAATGCCCCCACTACCTGAGTACCTGGATTTCAGTACACTACCAACTACAACAAGCCAGCAAGTGTTGACTGGATAATCTCCAATCAAAACAAATTCAGGAGGCTGGAGAGATGGCTCTGCTGTTAAGATCCAGAACTGGAATGATGGCTGACAACCAGAGGTTCTAGACATACATGCAATGCACTTACATACATGACAGCAAAACATTCATATACATAAAATAATTTTTAAAGAGACTTACATAAGAGGTCCTGTGCAATGGCTCAGAGGACAAAGATGCTTGCCTCTAAAGCCTGGTGACCTGAATTCAATGCCAGGAAACAAAACAAAACAAAACAAAAAGCAAAAATACAACACCAACAAAAAAAAAAAAAAACAAATAAAAACCAATTTCAGAATTGGGCATGGTGGCACATGGCCAGTAGTAATCCCAGTAGTCTGGAGGCCGAAATAGGGGAATCAAGAATTTAAGGCCAGACTGGGCTTTATGAGCATATGTCTCAAAAATTCAAATCAAAACAAAAACTCTAATTCAAATCTCACTAGACTTATAGCTTCCATAGATTAATTAAGATGATTTCAAACCACTGGTGGCTGTGGTGTGTGGCTGTAGTTCAGTGTTGGAGGTCTTGCCTACCACATGCAAGGACTTCCCTCTCATCTCCAGACCAAAAGAAACAAATACACACCCCATTTCCAAATAAAACAAACCTCCATGCTGTACTTTGTTTACAAAGTTCTGAGACTAACCTTGTAGCAAATCCCATGGTGCTAAGGCTAAATACAAGGCAGACTTTCCGGTCCTCTGACCCCGCACTACAGCATTTTCTTTGCTAGGATTTCTGTTTGTTTGCCTTTTGTTACTTTGTAGCAGATGGAACTTGCAGCCTCACGATTGCTGGATGACTATTCCAACAGTGAGCTAGAACCCCAACCCTTTCTGGAGTACTTCTGAAACAGTCTTTCTGCATTGTCCAGGTTTGCCTTCAACATGCTCTGTAGTCCAGGCAGAACTTGAATTTCAATTCTTCTGCCTCAGCCTTCTTGTACTACCATATCTGGCCCCCAAAAACCTTTCCCTCATATGTAAGGGTTCTTTCTACTTTGTTTTTAAAATGTCAGGGGCAATACATCTTTGCATTTAAGTAACAGTAGCTGGGCTGCATATTGAGAAAATGTTATATACTAAATGTAGGGCTGGAAAGATGGCTCAGCAGTTAAGAGGACAAGATGACCAAATGGCTTCATGTCATAAAGCACTTTTTAAAAATCAAAAAATTTTAGGAAAATTATATTTATAAACTAAATTTGGATACAAAAACAATTTCCCTAAACATATAAAGTGCTATAACACAGAATCCCAGAATATATTGCTATTAAGTTTACAAAAGTACCTTTGAGAGTCGAGGAACCGTTGTTGGAAACTCAGAATGCCCAAGTTGACCAAAGGTATTACAGCCCCATGAGTAAACCTACCAGAAACAACAGGGGAGCAGACACAACATGTAAGTTTAATCTTGCATGCTTATTCTGAACCTTCTCAATTACCTATAATCACAGAAATTATTCACACTAATTTTCTACTCTTTAAAGTAACAGGTATTAGCTGGACACAGTGGCTCACTCCTGAAATCCCACCACTCAGGAGGAGGAGGTGGGAGAAGTTTCTAGCTGGAGCTAACTTGTCAGGAGAGGCAGCCTGGATTACAAAGTGGGAGCTTGTCTCATCCCATTTCAAAAGAAGACAGAAATAAAACCTGGCCGGCTGGTACAAGCTTATAACCATAGCACAGTTAGGAAGCTGAGGAAGAATCTCAACTTTGAGGCCAGTCCACCTCCACAAGACTCATGGCATAGGAAGGAAGTCATGGGTCTCACCCACAGACACCTTTTCTTCAGTAGTGCAGCTACTGGTAAGGTGCATGCATTCCTATAAATAACCCCTGAAACCCACTGGGATGTATGTATGTATGTATGCATGCATGTATGTATGTATTTGTGTGCATGTATGTGTGTATACCCCATATACACATCACGCACATACAGCCAACATACACACATCACACATTATGCAAATACCCCTATACACACATCATACACATACACACAAATCATAGACACTCCACATATACATCATACACAGACAGCCCCATATTATACAGATACTCACACACATATTATACACATACACTTCCCCACACACATACATCATACACCAACATATACACACAATAATACATTTTTTTAAAAAAAAATCCTTGAATATAGGAATTTATAGATATATATACATCTATTTCTTCTTCTTCTTCTTCTTCTTCTTTTTTTTTGGTTTTTCGAGACAGGGTTTCTCTGTGTAGCCCTGGCTGTCCTGGAACTCACTCTGTAGACCAGGCTGGCCTCAAACTCAGAAATCCGCCTGCCTCTGCCTCTGCCTCCCAAGTGCTGGGATTAAAGGCGTGCACCACCACTGCCCGGCTCATCTATTTCTTTAGAAAATTCCTGAGCAAGGAATTCTGAGTCAATGAATATGTACATCTTCCAGCAAGGTCCCATTGAGATTTCTGCCACCATTGCTTTTTCCTGTGTCTTGAAAGTAAATGTGTGCCGGGCGGTGGTGGCGCACGCCTTTAATCCCAGCACTTGGGAGGCAGAGGCAGGCGGATTTCTGAGTTCGAGGCCAGCCTGGTCTACCAAGTGAGTTCCAGGACAGCCAGAACTACACAGAGAAACCCTGTCTTGAAAAACCAAAAAAAAAAAAAAAGAAAGTAAATGTGTTATCATCTATTATGAGAAAGTAGTTTTAAATTTGTTTGCTAAATTATCTTTTGTCAGTAGCCATCCTACTCTTAGATTCTTCACATTTGCTTGTTTTATTGCCTGTGGGAGGAGGCGAAGACATAATATCAGGGTGAGCATGTAGACGTCCAAAGACAACTTACAGGAGTCATTCTCTCCTGCCACCTTACAGGAGGGATCCAGAGGAACCCAGGTTTCAGGCGTGAGGACAAGCATCCCCGAGGACCTCTCTCCATCCATCCCTCCTCCCACCGCGCCTCTCTTCAGTCTTGCTATGTAACACAGGATGGCCTTGGATTCTTGCTCCTCCTCTCAATGGACGACAAGCATGTTCCACTAGGCCTGGTTTATGAGGTGGAGACAGAACCAAAGGCCTCAAGCATGCCAAGCAAGCACTTTGCCAACTGAGCTACAACCTCAGCCTCATGGTAGGTACTTTTTGGGCCTGTTAATGTTTGCTGGTTAGGACTGCTGAATTATTGTGAACACAAACATATCTTTCGTTGTAACTTGATGTCAAATCTTTTTTCTATTTCTAAGGTTTCTGAGAAAAAGTCACCTAGTATTTGCTCTTAAATACATATGAGTCTATTTGTTTGTTTGAAGTCTCTGCTGCATTTAGAAACAGAATATAACATGTTCTAATTTTTGCCCTATAAAAAATAAGCCAATGACTCTCGCAGTATCTACTGAGTACTATGACACACCTGTCCTGAAGACATCCAAAAGATTTATATATGTGAGTCTGTTTCTAGTGTCAGGGTATTTCTGCTCAACTGAAATCTTAACATCTCAGGACAATTTCTTTTCTTAGGTTTTTTGGTATAAATTGGATTTCAAAACAAAAATGAAGGGAACTGAGACTCTACTCCTACCTGGAAACTTGAGATCCACTTAAGAAAACTTCTCTTGCTCTCTTCCCCTGTCTATAAAATGGGAATACTGCCCAGTGAAACCTAACTGCCCAAAGGAGACAGACGACTCTGTCTGACAGCACAGTTGCTCAGAGACAGTCTAACCAGGACAGCCTCCCATCAAAGCAAGAGCAGCCCTCCAGTAGGCCTCTTACCTGAGATTTCGCAGTAAGTGCGAGAGAGTGGGAGCCACCTGCCTCCAGATGGATTACCTCTTTACCATCCAGACACTTGACACACAACGGCTGAAGCCTGAAAGAAAACAAATACGCACAGACACAAAATAAAAGTGTTTTCAGTATGAGCCGTTCTCAAATTATACAGCTAGTACTGTTAAATAAAAATAAAATGTCAACAATAATGTACATTATGTTCAAACTGTTTCTAAATATTACACCTAATTTTCGATCGCTTTTAATTATCTGTCATCACTATTTAACTCCTGTAATCCAGAATCCATTAAGAAGCATAAAACTGGAAGTGGTACACAGGCCTAAATCCCAGCACTTGCAGACAGGAGGATCACTACAAATTCAAGTCCAGGCTAGACCACATAGTACAACCCTATCTTAAATAGAAATAAAATAAATAGAAATGTAGAAACCATAGAAGAGTAAAAGAGAGAGCACTGCAGGGAAAAGAAAGGCAACTTCTGACTTCAGTTCTCTTCCCTCTGCTGAGGCATGTCAGCCCACTGCTTCCAACAGTCTATTCACACATCTTCACTCTTCTTTTGTCAAGCATGTTAATACTGGGAGTGCCTATTAAACAAAGACAGTTTTCCCTGGTATACATAGATTTTAATGCTTTATCGATAGCTATTTTAAGGAGCATAGCTACATCTTTTGGGATCAGAAACCTGTCACTCTTCTTTGTAAGTTAAAATATAAGTACTCAAATCTTTCAATAACATACCACCTTATCCCTAACATGCTCTGCATTCCAAGAGGAAGAAACATCAAAACAAACATGGACGAGTATGCATGAACACGCCACTCCTTTATTGGTTCTTTTATTTTGAGACAGGGTTCCTCTATGTAGCCCTGGCTGGCCTGGAACTTGTTATGTTGACCAGGCTGGCCCCAGTCTCAGAGATTCACTTATCCTCCCTCATCTGTGTCCCCCGCTAAGATCAAAAGCATGTGCCACCACACCCAGCCTCCAGGCCTGTCCTGTTGGGCATTGAGGACTAAGGAGACAGCTTTTTATCAGCACAAATGGTGCACAGTTATCTGTCCTATTAGAAGAAATAGGGATATGGAGACCTCCAGAAAAATGTGATTGCCTGAGCTGATCACCTTCAGTCAATGCTGGTGGCACTCACCTGGGCAGGACGTCGCCGTGCCCCAGCTGCCCTTCCTTGCCTTTCCCCCAGGTCCACACCTCTGTCCTCAGGGAAGGCAGGAGGGCATCTGCTTCTCCACTGTATGTGGGAGTCAGAACCACTGTCCGAGTTTTCACCCTTGCAGCCTTCCTTAAGAGCCTGGGGGAAACTGAAGACAAACACAGCTGGGTAAAGGGTCAGAGAAGCAGAAGACATGATGCTTTCACCGGAACATCCTAAAGCAATTATCAACATGACGTTTATAAAAATACGTTTAATTTCTTTGCAACAGAGTGGCTTTACAGGTCAAATGAGTTTGGGAAATGCTCATGAGACCTGCAATTAGAAGCCTGTTTGAGAGTTTAATCTGTCACACTGCCAAACATTTGGCTGTAGAACCCTTCCCTGTGTAGCATTTATCAACATCCTAGAGAACTTATATTCCAAAGAATATGCTAAATAAATGGATGTAGTAGCTCATGCTTGTATTGCCTGCTGAGGCAAGAAGATGGTAGAGAGGATGAAGCAGTCCTGAACTATAGAGTTCCAGGCCAGCCTGGGCTAAGTATGAGACCCTGTCTCAAGAAAACAAACAAACAATAAACAAAAACAGAATATGCTATAAAAAATACTGCAAAGTTCACAAATATCTTTTCTATTTCAAAACATAGTTAAAAGCTAATGCTTTCCAAGCTAAGTTTTAATTTCAAATATATAATAAATAAATGTAATAAAGGATTAGTTTTAAGACATAAAAATTTTAACTTCTATGATGGGAAGAAAGCTTTAAAAGGGGATTATCAAAAATCTTTCACAGGGGCTAGAGATAGCTCAGTACTTAAGAAAACTGACTACTCTTGCAGAGAATCTGGGTTTGATTCCACATATAATTCTAGTTCCAAGCAATCTGATGCCCTATTCCTATCTCCATGGACAGACATAGATGTAGGCAAAACACCCATACACATAAATTAAAAACAATAAAAAAGCTTTTACATATTTGGATGATTACATAGGTTAGTGTTTTATTTTTCTTGGCTTTGTTGTTGTTGTTGTTGTTGTTATTTGTTGTGAGACAAGGTCTCACTATGTGGCCCTGGCTATTTGGGAACTCACTATGTAGACCAGGCTATCCTGCAACTCACACAGTTCTAACTGCCTCTGCTTCCAGAGTGCTGGGATTGAGGTGTGGCTCACTATGCCTTGCTAGCATTTTGAAAGAATGTTACTAGGTTTTAAGATGTTGAAAACAATGTATAACATGAAGTAAATCTTATACATCGATGTGGTAGCAGGGTAAACTTTAAAAAGTTGTTAAAAAACTGAAGCTATATCCTATAATTATTTCTGAAGCAGAGAAACAGGTAGCTTTCCTAAAGTCGGCATTTTAATAAACTACAGTTATAGAAACTTCAGAGTCACTGGGCAGTGGTGGTGCACGCCTTTAATCCCAGCACTTGGGAGGCAGAGGCAGGTGGATTTCTGAGTTTGAGGCCAGCCTTGGCCTACAGAGTGAGTTCCAGGACAGCCAGGGCTACACAGAGAAACCCTGTCTTGAAAAACATTAAAAAAAAAAAAAAGGAAAAAAGAAAAAGAAAAAGAAAAGAAAAGAAAAAGAAACTTCAGAGTCAGACTATGCCAGCCCTGATCATTAGGAAGACTACCTTGCTATATCACAGCATACAATGCTGGGAGCACCCAGGACTCTCCAGAAGTCAATCCACTAAGGCATTACCTTGCGACAACAATCCTGGGAGGGAGAGTCTTCGACTCCCTCCCTCTGCCTCCTCCTCTCTGATATCCATGAGACTCGAGCTTTTCTTCCCTTGCAGTGATTCCTGCTTCACCTGCTCTTCTCTGAGATCTTTCAGACTTTCTGGGCCTGGAGAAGCACTGCCTGATGGAGCTCCCATCTCACAGGGGGTGGTGCTATAAAAGTTCATAACTTTCTTGAGAGACAAGGCCCCAGCTTCATAGGTGGCAGCCACTCTCACACCAACAGCAGATGCACAGGAGACCACTAAGCTGTTGAGGGCTGAGGTGCTTGTGGTTGGTGGACTGTGAATATCAGGAACTGCTTCTTCTACAAGAGGCTAACACACATACACAGTATATAAAAACATAAGCAGTCGACAGTTTAATGCTTATAGCTATCTACAAAAAAAATCTGAAACAGATCCAATGGCCTGTCTGTAACCTTAGCATTAAGGAGGCTGAGGAGGAAGAATGAGGCCAGCCTGGGCTATACAGCAAATCCCAGGCCAACAACAGAACTGCTGATCTTTGATCTCAAATCATCCCTCCTGATCGCAGAGTTAACCTAGTCTATGGAAATGGTGCTTGAAATATAGTTCTTCCCTTACATGCTTCCCCTTGTCTCAGTGTCATGCTTTTTAGTGGCATGTTAAAATGACCTCTAGTCACTTTATAAAACTAAGCATGGGAAAAGAAGAGTGAGGTTCAAAAGGCCCTGGCTGCAGCCCTGGGGAGGCTGAGGCAGGAGGAGCCTATCCTTTCATAGTAAGACCTTGTCCAAAAAAGTAAATAGACATAAAAAAGAAAATAACTGGATTTAATGCAAGGTACCCCGTGTAGAAGGTTGGAAAAACCCAGATTGTTCTTATTTGAATACTTTTAGGACAATTTAAATTGATTACTTGGCACTAAGAAACAGAAGGAAGAAGGCCTTTTCTAAAACATTTTATAATGAAGATTAGATGTAGGCTGTATAGGAAAAAATTTTATGCTCTGACCTACTATCCCTCAAACTACACTCTTCAGCTGACCCATCAGTGACTCATCTCCTATGACACAGTAGCTGGGCATGCTACAACCTTTGCTCTGGTTACCACAGAGGATAAAAGGCACAGGTTAATAATTAAATACATGAACCTAGTATTCTTAGCAAAATAGGTTAAAATATCAAATACTGTTTACTAAAAGGAAAAAATCATTAGATATATCCAATAAACACAAAAAAGCTTTGACAGATAATCAAAGTTATACTGAAAAACTATTGCTTCTCATAGGGGTTGATGGCTGGAAAGATAGCTCAGGAGTTTAGAGCACTTGCTGTTCTTTCAGAGGACCCAAGTTCAGCTACCAGGGACTATGTCAGGCAGTTCGCAACCTCTATAACTCTAGTTCCTGGGGATCCAACAACTCTGACCTTCATGGGCACCTAAATTCACATGCACATACTCACATGCAGAAACACGCACCTACATATAATTAAACACCTACACATAATTAAAAAGAGTATAATTTTTTTAAAAGCTGCTTTTTATACCCAAAGATTCCAAAGACATACACATTGTTCCTTAAGTTATCCTGAATTCAGAACCAAACCCAGCAAAGCATGGTTGTACAGCTGCAGGCCAGCCTAGGCTACACAGTGAAATGCTATCTCAAAAACAACAACAAACCAAATAGAAATAACATTGGCTTCTAATTTTCTTGAAGTAATTCCCAGTGCTTATCACAGTATCTGGCATATAGCAGGCATTCGATATAGTTTGTCAAATTACATACTTGCGTATTGTAAACTTAGAAGTTACTTCTGTGGAAATAAGTAATCTAATTAAAATAGTCAGCAGAGGCTTGAAAACTACATACAACTAAAGGCAAGTACTTTGATGATTTAGTTCAGTGCTACTGTGATTTCTATCCTTTGTTCACATTATATCTGTAATGCTCCTAACAGGTGCTTTGATGGTATCTGAGAGGGAAGCTCTTACCATTAAGGAAAGGCAGAAATCACTGCCCATAAACTACGGTTAGTGATGTATTATACATACATGTATGTATGTAAATATGCATGCATGTATATATTTATGTGTGTGTGTGTGTATGTGTGTGTGTGTGTCTATGTGTGTGTGCGAGTGTATATGTACACAAGTATATGTTATGAGTGTATCTATGTGTATGCATGCATATATGTATGTATACAGGTATGTGTGGATGTATGTATACTTTTATATCTTTCTTTATCTGAGGTGCTGAAAGCCTCAAGCATGCTTGCCAGGTGCTCTACCACTGAGCTACATTCTAGCCATTCAATTGTATTTAAACAAATAAAGTAGGGAAAAACTAATTACTAGCCATTTTGATTGAAGACATAATTTTAGAATTTAGAGTCAACCAATAACAAAGAACAATATATAAATCTTTCTCTGTTCAGTGTAAGGCTAAAATGTTATTTACAAAGATTAAGTTAAATTTAATAGGAACACACACTGCCAAAACAAGCATACCTAATAAAAACTTCATTTTTCAAAATAAATACAAAGGAAAATGCAATATTGTATGTTGTTTTTTTTGGAATATGGAATTTTAATAGTAGTAACTTGATACCCAAATGAGCTGAATACAATAAGCTTCTAACCTTAAATTTAATAGAGGAATGACTTCTAAAAGGACAAACTTGTCTTCTGTGTTTGTTTTTGAGACAAAAACCTTTGTAGTCTGGGGTGACCTCAGACTTGAGATCAGGCATAATCAAATTTTTGTATAAATACATACAGTCTAAGAATTTTCTATAAACATTCTTGATAAATTAATGTTTCTTTGTTTAGATTTTTTTCTTGTAAACAGTTTACTCTTATTTTAAAAAAGGTTAGATATCAACAAGTTCAGAGAGTCTGTGTGAAGCAAGAGCACTGTAAAAACACCCCAGCTTCTTACTCTGCTGGTAGCTTTGAGAATAAAGAACTGAGAACTCTGGTGGCTGTAAAGACTTTGAGTGAAAAAGAGCAGAAACAGTTCTTTCCTAATGAAATGCTTTGCTTCTTCTCCACACACCCCCACCCCCACCCCAACCCCTCCACCTTTGGCACAAAGCAAATCCCAAGTAATCCCAAGAGCAAACCAGAAACTGACTTTCTGAAACAATGTGTTTCCAGCAGCAGTGCCACCCCATTCCAAAGTCTTCAATGAGAAGATTCTAAATAAGACAACAGAAAATATTTCCCCATCTCAAATAAAGCCCAGTAAGGACAAGTTATAACTGAAAACAAAAACTAAAAATACAACAACCTGAAACATAATGGAAAAACCTCTAAGTTTCTTTTCTTTTCTCTCTTTTTGTTTTTACTTTTGTTTTCATTTTTGTTTCCTTTTATGAGATAGAATGTTAATTGTAGCCCTGGCTGGCTTGATACTATGTAGCGGAGGCTAGCTCCAAACTCATAGCAATCCTTCTGCTTTGGCCTCCTAAGTTATGGGCATGCACAACCAACTCTAGAAACTGTTGTTATATTCTGCCTACAACTAAACACTCTGCAACCTAGTAACCTCGCTAGATGGAAGAAAAGAGGTTTAGGAACTCAGAAGATAGTTCCCAGTACAGTCCAGAAGCAGCTCTGTGAGCCTATGGTTATATATACTGGTTATACTCTTCTGGGGACTACCAAAATGTGGTGCCTCAACCAGGATGGCAAAATACAAGCAAGGAAATAATCAGCACTTTGCCATTTCTAATGCAAGCCCAGCACGACATCTTCTGAATTAATACAGGCTCCCTCCTCTCTAGGCTTGCTTAGAGCCTAGAGGCAGAATTACAGTGCCTGATTGGGGTAGGGGAAACCTTGCTGGACTTAGGACTTCAGTTCCTAAAGGAACACAAAAACAAAGACTAATTCCAAATAACCTTTGTTATAAAATGTAGCAGCTACCTGGACATGGGGTGGCTTTTCTCCAGGCTCATGGTTCTCCCTCACCGAATGCTCTGATAGCTTCTGCAGGTATGCAGTAACCGCCTGGGTGTCTGGGTATGAGGGAGCTGTTCTGGCAGAAGACACTTCAGCTGTTCCCACGATGCTCTGCTGGGAGGAAATGGCACTGCCACCTGTAGTCTGACCGCTTCCCATGCTCAGTTCAGCTTCTACCACTGTGTTCTCAAATACCTCTCCCTGCTCATCCAGAGTCTCTGGGTGAGGGCTGGTAGCAGTGCTGGCATGCTTTTCTGCTTGAGATTCCGACAGTGTCACACCTAAAGGGCAGCAATGGCTGTCTGATATTATCACATGGTCCTCTTTGTCTGTCATAGTGATGAGCAGCTGGCTGCACTGGTTGCATCTCTCTGGGACTGGCTTCAGATCCTGGGGAGGGAGGCACTGCACAAGCGCAAGGCTGTGGAATGCACCGCAGGCCACCTGAAGCACCACTCGTCCAGCAAGGTGTTCCACCTTCTGTGGCTTTGTCACTGGGAAGGTAGTGGTGATGAGACCCAGCTGACAGCCGGTGCCCCATGCCCAGATCTCTCGGCTGAGTGACAATGCCAGTGTGTGTTCCTCGCCACATGCCAACTGAAGAATCCTAACTGCTAACAAAGGGCTGGTCTCTGAGTCAGAAATGCTGACAGGACTCGGCTCCGGCACATACTGCTGGTTAGCTACTGCACACTGCCCAGCAGCGTTCTCCCCCCACATGTACACAACCCCACTTTCTGTCACTGCTCCACTGTGGAAACTCCCTGTTGCCACAGTAACAACATGATGCCCAACCAGAGCACTTTCTAGAAGGGGGTTGCTTGGACAAATTTCTGCTGATTCACTTTTCCAGGGAAGGGTCCCAAAGCTGTAGACCTCACCATCTGCAGTTCAAAAGAGAAAGAGAGGTTGGTTATTGAGCTAACTAAGCACTTCATCAGCAAACACCTTCAGACCCTCCAAGACTCAGAAAAGCAGATGGGATTTCCCCTCTACTCATCTTTCAGCATTCTGGAATGAAGTGAGAAGGAGCTTAAGGAGTATGGGCCGTTCACAGCCAGCATCACAGGCTATTCAAAAGCAGCCAGCAAACAAAATTCCTGCTGTGCCAACCTCCTACCTAGAAAACACAGCTTCATGCACCATGTTGTCAGATGAAATTCTTCTTTCGGGTTTTTTTCCTCTTTTCTTTTTTTAACTACAGACTGAACCCAGGGCCTTTTATGCTAAGCAGGTGCTGTACCACTGAGCTCTACCATGCCTAGCTGAGTCTGCATTCTTTTTGTAATTTGGATACTTAAAAACATGATACCGCTTAAACATGAGAACAGTGAGAAGCTTTTCCTCAACTGTTCCAGCTTTTGTGAGGCAGGGTCTCCCACTGAAACCTAGGCTGGCTTGAAACTAGCCATGCAGCCCAGGCTAGCCTCAAACTTGTAGCAATTCTCCTGTTTCAGCCTCCTAAATGAGTAACCACACCCTGGCTACAATTCTACATTAATTTTTTATTAAAAACATTTTTATTAATGTATATGTGAGATGTGGGAGGAGGCTGGTTCCACAGCACGTGTGCAGGTCAGAGGACAACTCCAAGGAACTGCTTCTCTCCTTTAACCTCATGTGGATGAAGATCAGACTCGGGCTGGCAGGGCTGTGTGACAAGCGCCTTTACCTGCTGAGCCGCCGTCTCACCGGCCTAACTCTAGATGTCAACGGCACCATGTTGGTAAAAGGCTTCCAAATATCTTACTTAATAAAAGTTTTCAGGTATTTTAGTTAACATATTCCAAACATTCCTTATTTACAACAAGGGCTAGTTCTATGGCTCAGTGCCAGAGTATTCCTTAGGATTATGTGAGGCCCCAGGACCAATCCTCAGTCCTGCCAAAAAAGAAAAAGACCACCAGAATTCTCCCAAGAACTCTTGAGAATTATATACTTTTCAAATCCATAGTATAGATAGTATATACTGAACTTATAGTTAATTTTCAAGTATTTCCTAAAATCTTAATAAAATGTTAATTTAAAATGTGTCATAATAAAAGCAATATAACAATGTACTAAAAAGAACTCTCATATGCTCATGTTTGTTTTGTAACACATCTAAATACAGATTTAAGCTGTTTCCTAGAGTTTTTCTTCTCAGTTCCTACAGTAAAAATATAAAACATTATTAATACTTATTGTCTACCACGTAGAAATTTAAAATTAGAAATGAGAATCTTGAACCAAATCAAATTTTCTATGATTACCTTGACAAACTGGCAACAAGATTAGAGGTGACTCTCTGTGTCTCTACTTTAGACGGACAGATGTACACAGCTTTTCTAAGCTGGCTTTTCTGTCCCTGAGACACTGTGCGGAGACACTATGGCCTGTGGCTACAGGGGCAGTAGGAAGAAAGCTCTGACAGGATGGAGCTCAGTTTGGATTCTGCACTCACTTCTTCCCGTCTTGCTCATCTGTGAACAAGGCAGCTGAGGTAACGAGGCTCCATGGGGAACTCTGTGGTCAGACCTGGCACAACTGTGTTCAGAGGCCCCAGCTCCTATTAGCATCCCTGTTGCAGATGCCACAAGAGTCTCTAAGAAACTTTTCATGAGGTCACTTATGTGCTGACTACCATAAAAACTTTAAACTACAACTCTCCCTTTTATTCCAGTTCATAGAAAGTGTCAAATGTACAAATAAATGTAGTTTTTGTAAAGGGAGTTGGGATACACTTTGAGAACAAAGGGGTACAAGCTGCGGCAAAGCTCAGAGAGAGCCTGCAGTTGTCAGTGACCCTTGCCTGACCTCAAACACAGGCATGAGCAGGGCTGTCGGCATGGCTAAGCCACCTTTCACATACCTTCAGTCAGAAGAACTCCATGCCTCACACCAAGTGCTGCCTGAAGAACTGTCTTTCCTCCCCAGCCTGGCAACCTCTCTGGTGTCAGAGAAGAGGATCCTGCCTGCCAGACATGGACTAGGCCTCTTTCTTTGGATCCTTCTGCCTCTGTTGAGCTACAAACATTTAAAAACAAAACAAAATAGAACAATTATTCCCACAAGTCAAAGCTGTTATCTTTTGCTCTCAATAATTCTTGAGACAGTACCTTTCTTCTTCTGTATGTCTGTATGAATTTGGGGCGGTGGGGAGGGATTTGATATTACACTTTTTACCAGCATAGACATAGGGAATAGCTGGGATAGGTAGTTTAATTAGCATTGTTTTATTTACACTTTGGTTATGTGTGATACCAGAGTTGAGATAATATTTATTTATATAAATAAAAGGCTACATGATAATCTAAACCCATAAATCACTTGCTTCTAAGCAATAAATAAGGCCTGAGGTATTTTTATGTTTTATAATTTGGCAGCACACACTTTCTAACTTGATGGGAAAAGATACAAGGAACTGATCTTCCACTTTATGGTGACTTTCAAGCTAACTGATTTATATGTGTTTGTGGAACTGGGGATTAAACCCAGGCAAGCGCTATACAACTGAGCTGTCCTCAGCCCACTACTTCTTAAAGCTTTTAAATATTATTATTTGTATTATCATTATCTGGCATGTACTTGAACATACAGAAAGAATACAACAATGTGTTAATTCTACACATGTATGTATATGTTGTGGTGAGTGTAATTACCGTAGTCTTTACATCAAACATAAACTATTTCTTTGCATTTAGGACATTGAGAATCTTTTCTACTAGCTATCTGGAAATACACAGAACTGGGTATGGTGACAACTGTAATCCCAACACTAGGGAGACTAGGGGTCAAACATTCTCAGTTGGAGGACGGTCTGAGCTACAGAGTGAGACTATGTCTACATGAGAGAGGGGTGGGGGAGGAGGGAGGGAAGGAGAGGCAGAGAGAGAGAGATCATTACCATCTATCTATCATTCACCTGCAGTCTGACAGAACAGTCTAAGGTTTCTATACAAAGTCACTCAATACAGTAACCACATCCATTCTTCCCATGTTCTGGAAACCATTATTTTGCACTATTTTGCATTATTTCAAGATCTACTTTTATCTTCCACATGTAAGTAAGGAGACGTGGTAGGTGGTGTCAGGCTTTTGATACCTGACTTACTTCACTCAACAAAACACCCATGCACATTGCTGCAAATGAAGACTGCATGCTTTTTTATGGCTGAATATAGGCTACTGACTGTATACCCCTTTTTAACCCATCAATGAATACTTAAGTCAACTTCCTATCTTGCCTAGTGTCAGGAGTGCATATTTCTTGTCAACATATGGATTTCCTTCCGTTTGGATATATGCCCCACAGTGAGATTGATAATACAGCAATTCCTATGAGGCTGGGGAGGGTTATAGGTGTTTGTTTTTTAAGACGGGGTCTATGTAGCCAGGTTTGCTTCAAACTCATACTTCCTAGGCCTTAACCTCTCATGTGCTGGGATAACAAGTGTATGCCACCACCATATCCGCCTATTTCCAGTTTTTTGAGGACTCTCTATTATTTTCCATTATTTAGACTTTTTAAAGAATCAAATTCCTAACTGACAACAGTCTTCTATGCTTTCCTTATACTGTTAAGAAAGAATCCTCTCCACAGCTCCCACTAAGACAGGATCTCTAGACCAGGCTGGCCCCAAACTCAAAGATCTGATTGCCTCTGTCTCCCAAGTGCTATGATCAATGATATGTGCTACACATGATATTTCTGTTTGCTTATTTCTAGCAAACACATATTCTTCTATTTTAGTGGAAGCAGAAAAGTTTTTTTTAATGTCTCTACTTTTGCTAAACAATATTTCCTTAAATTATAATTGGGCTAGCTGCAGTAGTGCTGTATGTCTTTAATCCCAGCACTCAGGAGGCAGAAGCAAGTAGATCTCTGAGTTAGTTGAAGGCCAGCCTGGTCTACAGAGTGAGTTCCAGCACAGCCAGGGCTACACAGAGAAACCCATCTCAAAAAAATAATACTAAAAATAAAATAAATTATAACTGTGCTTAACAAGCTATGGAAGGAAAGTCACAATTTAATCTCCTTTTTAGTATCTTCTGTGAGTAGTTTTCTAAGGAGAGATTGAAACTTAAAAAAGGGTGTCTACAAGAGTTTTAAGATAATAAAATCCTTTTATAAGCATAAGAAAACTAATAAAACTTTTCTCTAATTACTTTTATTTAAATAATTTTGTCACTTTACCTACCAATTACAAATGCAACCATGTACTCCTACTTAATACTACTAAAAAGAAAATCAAACTCAAGAAACATTAATTTAAACCACGTGGAGTTTTTTTGTTGTGCTTTCCTAGAAGGACAGGGGAGAGCAAAAATAATTTTACACCGGACAGTGGTGGCGCACACCTTTAATCCCAGCACTTGGGAGGCAGAGGCAGGTGGATTTCTGAGTTCAAGGCCAGCCTGGTCTACAGAGTGAGTTCCAGGACAGCCAGGGCTACACAGAGAAACCCTGTCTCGAAGGAAAAAAAAAAAGAAAAAAGATGTTACCTTTTCTTCTTTGAGTCCATCGGTCAGGAGTACTCCATCACCAAATCATCCCATTAGCAAAAGCTCTATCAAGACCTAAACAGAGAACAGTAGGTAAGCACAAAGAGTAAAGGAAGGATATTGGAATACTCTGCCAGTGTATCTCTTTGAAAGGAAAGGGGAGAGAGAGGGCAGGCCTCTAACAAGTGTACATTCACTGAGTGATAAGTATTCAGAGAAACTATTCAACTATTTCATACCCTGCCTACTCAAAGTCAAATACCAAGACTGAGCCTGCCCACTGTGCTTATAAAACGCCTACTGGACATCAAATGTAATCTCAAAGAAAAGGCTGGAAGCTAACTGCTCCAGGAAACAGATTTTATAAGGTTCTTAAAAATTATTATAAAGGAGGGAATTTAATCTACAAATCAACATATTCAGTACAAAAATGTCATAGAGATTGTGGTGGTTTCAAAGTAGTCACATTTCTGTGAATACTTGGTCCCCAATTTGGTGGATCTATTTGGAAAGGATTAGGAGGTGTAGCAGCCTTGTTGGAGCAGGCTTTGACGTTTCAAGAGCCAAGTGACATTCAATGCACTCTCTATCTTCTGTTTGCAGTTCCAGATGTGAGCCCTCAGCTGTTTCTGCCACTTTGCCTTCGCTCTGCCATCATGAATTCTAGCCCTTTTTAACCCTAAGCCCAATTAAATATGTTCTTTTATAAGCTGCTGTAGTCACAGTATTTCATCACAGTGATAGAAAAGTAATGCCCATATTACTTTTTAAGTACTCTAGCACATATAAAAACTTAAATTCCAAATGGGAAAGATTTTTTTAAATCTCAGTAATGTATCATATCCAAGTCATTCTAATTTTCAGTAATGAACACAAATGGTAATTATTAAATTTCTTTGTGTTTAACTAAAACACCACATTTTCCATTTACTGGAACCTCTGTGGTAATTTCCCCAAGTCAATCTCAATTCAATACAAACAAGCTTCAAACCCGGAAGGGCTGAAGAAGTGTAAATTTTAAATGAGCTGTTTCCAGATCCACCATTCGCCATCTGATCCACACAGGCTAAGAGTATTGGTATGGCAGAAGCCCTTCACCCTAACCAATCACTAGCTCAGCATCTCTGTGACATTACTTATGCCTAACATGCTAGCTGTGGGAAGTACTGACCGCTAGGCACCTGTGCCCACAAGCTGAACATTCACCAGCACTCAGTGCTATTTCTTTCCAACACAGCTGACCACGGTGCCTGGGATGCCAATGAAGTTCCCATTTTAGTTTAATAAACTAAAACTGCTGGGGATGTAGCAAAATGGTAGAACACTTGACACATATGGGCTCTTGATTAGTTCTCTAGTATCTGTGACCCCAAATAATAAAATAAAATAAAAGCCTCCACTCAAAACCCAGGTGTAGTAGCTTATGACCACAATTTCCAGCTCTAAAGTGTCTGAGGCAGGAGACTGAAAATTGAAAGCCACGCTGGTTGTGGTGGCACGCACCTGTGACCCCAACACGTGGCAGATGGAAGCTAGATGATTTTGAGTTCAAAGGTCAGCCTAGGCTACATAAACACTACTTCAATAAATACATACATACACTAGTAATAAGGAAAGAAAGTGTTCAAGGCTAGTCTGGATACACAACAAGCCCTGTCTCAAAACACAATAATCATTCAGTGAAAAAGAGCTAAATAAAGATTATTGTATGAAAATAGTGATCCATGAGTTTAAAACTCAATGTTTAAAAAAAGAAAGTAAAACAAACAAAGGAAATATTGGATGCATTTCAATTTAACAATTCCAAATTTTAATGGCACTAAAATTCATCATCATCATCATCATCATCATAATACAAGAACAAAGCCCTATTTCTGTGGACTTTATAATCCTGAGACCAAATTTATAATTTCCTGCAGAGGGTACAGCATGGTCGCTGCTCTGCAAACAACCCACACTGGCAGGGAGATCTAGTCCATCTGTTGATCCCAGACTGCCTGGGATTCTCACTGCTTCCCATCTGTGTATCCGGAGGAAATTACTTTCTACCTTCTAAGTGTTTAATTTAGAATGGCTTGAGATCAAATTTGGATGAAAGGTACTATAAACAGATGGTAAATTTGAATAAACTTAATGCTATTAGTACACAGAATCGTTAACTGTTGCTAACTCTCAGTTCATGGTAACTAGCTTTAGTAAGATGTACATTTCCTAGTGTGGCTCATCTGTACAGGCCAAGGGCTGCCTTTCAGATTACATCTTGACACTATCTAGCAGGAGCCAGAGGACCCTTCTAGGATGGCATGGAACTGTACAGCCACATCTCGTTTTCTGAAATAGATCCACTACATCAAGACTGAACAACCAAAACTGCTGTAAACTGAGTACGATGGTACTTATGATCCCAGCTATTAGGAAGCTAAGGCAACAGAACTGACATGAGTTCAAGGCCACTCTGGGCTGCAATAGTGAGTCCCAGTCTAGCCTGAGCTATAGTATAAGAAGCTATATTTAAAAAGAAGAGGTTTAAAAGAAAGCAAAAATATCCAACAAAAATGGAGGCTCATGAGATGGCTCTGCAGTTAGGAACAAGCACTGCTTTGCATAGGACACAAGTTCAGGTCCCACAACCCATGCCAGGCAGCTCACCATTACCTATAACTCCAGCTACACACACACACACACACACACACACACACACACACACAACTTTCCTAATAAAAAAACAAAAAAGGAGGGCTGGTAAGATGGCTCAATGGGTAATGTTTGCTGCCAAGTCTATCTGACTTGACCTGAGTTCAGTCACTGGAACCCACATAGTGGAAGGAGAGAATGAACCCCTGTGAATTGTCCTCTGATCCATATGTGCATGCATGTCAATGCATGTATACACACGAACACACAGAATAAATAAAGGCACATACAAAGACATTTTTTAAGGAATGAAAGAAAGAAATTGTAACGGAAGCTGGGTGAAAGATGCTACACAGCTGACCGCCTCAAAATGTGCAAGAGACAAGGAAGGAGGAGTGGTACCTACCAACTTGGGGGAAAACCTGCAGAAAAAGACAGTCAAAGAACCTTTTCTGGCCTAGTTTAGCCCACAGCAGACGTTTAGCTTGCAGGACTGTATGGTAGTACATCAGTGTTGTAGGCCACAGAGTTTGTAGCGATGTGTCAGAGCAGCAGTATAAGCTAACATGTCGAGCTGGGAAGCAGCTCAGGCAGTACAGTGCTTGTGTGAAGTCCTGGGTTTTATCCCCCGCAGTGTGCAAAAATTGGCATGTGTCTGTAATCAAAGCATTTATGAGGTAGAAGCAGAAGGTCAGAAAATTCAAGGTCATCCTAGCTACACAGAGAGTGGAGGCTAGTCTGGGTTACAAGGTAGGGGGAGTAAATTCTGTTTTATAGACATCTTTTATTAGTATTGTTGTAGAAACTTTTCCCTTCCTTTTTTAATGTAATCTTTCTATGTATGCCAGGCTAGCCTCCTACTAATTATAGATATGTATTCCAAACCTGGCTTCATTTTGCTTTAAAGGCTTCAAGATGTTTGACTTTTTTTCAAGAAGTCATGGAAAGAAGAGAAGTGACAACTAAGGAAAGCGTGCGATCCAAAGCTCACGTACTTAGGGAAGGGCGTGACTTAACTACTCCATTAACACCTCTCAATCATGCACTAACACAGTAAAAACACGTAGGCCAATGACAACAATAATGTTGTTTCTCTGGTGTTTCTATGACTGCTTCTCCATTTACAAAGCATTTAAACTGGTGAAGCTAGGCCAACTGTGGGCTCCTCAAAGATGGCTCTCCCTGGGTGAGGGTCCAGTTTCTGTGCTACATGGGGACAGGAGCCTGGTGCCCTGTTGCTCTCTTCCACTGGCCTGAATTGTCTTAACTAACCCTGATAAACAGCACTTATTTGGAAGTTAGAAACTGTGGGGTTGACTTACCTTCAAGGCCTTTCCACAGATTAGCAGACCCTCCATAAGACAAGCAACCAAGACTAATTGTTCTAGCTGTTAAGTTCTGTGAGTCAAAGCCCAAGGCTAGACTCAATGGATACCACTCTGCAAGCTATTTATCTCCTTCACAGCAGAAAGATGCAACCCTCGGATGCTGCATTTAAACTAAGAGCAAACTTTGGTTCTTACCAAAGTGACACCACGTTTAGATTCCACGGCTACACTACAGCTCCCTGTGAGGAGGAAACTGGCTGTGTTTAAAGATGCCACTTTAATATCAGGATCTGGTAATGTCCAAAAAGAATATGGTCTAGTCTAGAGTCATAATCATTGCTTAGGAGAGTGAGGGGGGCGGGGGAGTGCTATAAGCCATCTTGGTGGTATATGCCTATAATCCCATAAATTGGAAGGCTAAGACAGGAGGATTGCCTTGAGTTTGAGGTCAGCTGCAGTAACAATGCAAGATCCCGTTTTTAAAAAGAAGAGCTATGAACCATCTGTATTTCCGTTATATTAGAATCCAAAATCCAAAGTCCAAAGACTCTGTCTGAAAGCTACCTTTTTTTTTTCTTTTTTCACAGCAAAAATCCAATATGACCTCGATTCAGCCAACCATAAAATCCGACCTGAACCAATGAGGGGCTGTTATTTTGTCTATAGCAAATACTTGCCCTACCGCTCTTGGAGCAGAACTATCAATATGATCACAAGCTGGCAGAGATCCCAGGGAAGGTACTACATAATACAGTTTATACACCGTCTTCAGGAGAGAAAAATCTCAGTTCCAAAACATCTCTCAATATTTCCAAATAAGGGACTTGGAACCTATATTCTTTTTAAAAAAATCACTATAATTTTTAGTACACGTCTCTCAGATTTTAACTTCTTCACTCTGCTTCTTCAACGTGCTTGGGTTTTATTTAGGGTAGGGAAGGTAGATAGATCAAGTCTTACATGTTGCCCTGGCTAGCCTCAAACTATTGGGCTGAAGTGATCCCCCTGAAGTGGTCCACTGTATTATCTTATATTTTTCTAATATGATAGCACTCCATAGAGAAGACAGCATCCTCAAGACAAAAGGAAGCTAACTTTTGCTCTCTCTCCTTCTCCCCATCATCTTCTCCCCCTGCTTTCTTTTTTTAGCCCTAGCTGGCTTAGAATTGGCTATGTAACTAGGATATTCTCACATTTGAAGAAGCAATTCTCATCTCTGCCCGGAGAGTATTGAGAACACAAGAATGTGCCACCATACCATGCTACTTCTCTCCACACTGGTTTAAGATAGGTATCTGGGTGTGTGGAAACAGGGATATAATTTAGAAGTTGAACACTTGTCTAACAAGTCCAAGGCCATGGGCTCAAGTCTCAAGCCCTGCATAGGGTATTTTGATTAAAATAATGACAACTATTTTTTACAAAAGTAATGATAATTAGCGATTAAAACTAACCAGGACCAGTGAGATGGGAGGGGTGAGAGGGGGAGAGGGACCGCCACCAAAGCTGACCACCTCAGTTTAATCCCTGGAACCCACAGGGCAAAAACAGAAAACTGGCTCCCAAAAGTTGTCCTCTGATGTCTATACGCTCACCATGTCATGAACACACTCATACACATAGACATAAAATACATATACACACAAAGAAATAACATACATAATTTTTAAAAAATGACTACATATTACGATAAGAAGTAAACTGTGCATAGTGTACACTCCTTTAATCTCAGCAAATGGAAGGTGGAGACAGGTAGATCAAAGGTCAAGACCAGCCTCAGCTATAGCAAGTCACAGGCTACCCTAGGCTACACCTGACTCTTGACCTTGTTTCAAAAAAATTAAAACCAGAAACAGGAAAGCGGAACAACTGAGCAAACTGTATCATGAGCTCTGAAAGGAATTTACAGATTAACTAATGGCACTAGTAACTTGGACACAAAACTACTAGATTTTCAAGTAGCCATCCACAACTTCTTTCTTTTTGTCTCCACAGGTGAGGTGGAATTAGGAGACAGAATTTCACGCTGTAGCCCATGCTGCTTTGAACTCTGCAATTCTCCTGTCTTAACCTTGTAAATCCCAAGGTTAAGTTATCCCAAGGTTGAGTCATAATTTGTTATAATGAAATAAGCCATAGTTCACACTGTGGATATAGTGATTTAAGAGCACCTGGTATTTTACACAGGTAAAATACTTAATAATCATTTGCTTTTAAAGTCTTGGTTACTGTGTTTACATGTGAGTTAAGGCGCTCTTGGACTCTGTTTGACTACAAATATTCTAGATATCAACAACTTCTTTCCGGATAGCATGCCACTGACACCTTTACCAGGCATGCAAGGCTAAGGACTAGAGCAGACATGCTAACCAACTGGAACTGCGTAAGCCACTTCAAATCCCAGACCCTCCTCAAGACACTCTTTAAGTCCCCAGAGTAGGGGAACTCAGGCAGTTAAACACAAATGAATTCATGCCTGGGTAGAAAGCTACTTATTACTTCTAACTTTGTACTTAGAGGATAATGCCCTTACTAAGTCTTGACTCATTAAGCTCCTGAAGGTCAGGAAGCATGACGTTTTTACACTTTGTATGCACACTAACCACTACAAACAAGCTGATTACATTTAAGGGAGAACGGAAGCCACGGCACTTGATCTGAAGGTTGCCCCAATACTCAGTTTATAGTTTGCTTGTTTTTTTTGTTTTGTTTGCTAACTTTTTAAACATTTATTTAGAGAGAGCGAGATGTTCGTGTGTGTGTGTGTGTGTGTGTGTGTGTGTGTGTGTGTAGAATAGTGCATGAAGATCAGAGGACAAGTAGTTTTGAAAGACAGTTCTCCTTCCACTGAATTAAGGTAGTCAGGCTTTGTACCTTTACTCTTTGAGCCTATCCCTACACCTTTGAGCCTATCCCCACACCTAACCCTTCTTCCAATGGCTTGCTGCTTTTAACCTAGACCTACCAGAACTGAGCACATTTCTGATTGTGAGAGTCCTCTAAGAAGGGTATGTGTCATTGCACAAGAAATGCCCAGTAACGCACATATGGTTCCTTTTTATACCTACTGTGCAGCTTTAAAAATTGAGTTTTCCAAAATCAGTAAAATTCTCATGAAAGATTTTATAATATTGCCATGGCATAGAGGCATGAGTTATTACAGTATCTTGGGATTTTGATATTTAACTGTTAGAATTACAATATCTCAGGATAATGCGTTTACTAACTAATAACTAACATAACCAACTCAAATAAAGTGCTCATTACTTCATGACCATATAAAATCTTGGTAAAGTCAGTCTTTATCTAAATTCCCTTCAGAGCATTATGAATGAATTTGCTCCCTGCACTTTAAGATTTCAAGATGGTGCCAGGCAGTGGTGGTGCATGCCTTTAATCCCAGCACTTGGGAGGCAGAGGCAGGCGGATTTCTGAGTTCGAGGCCAGCCTGGTCTACAGAGTGAGTTCCAGGACAGTCAGGGCTACACAGAGAAACCCTGTCTCAAAAAAAAAAAAAAAGATTTCAAGATGGTTTTATGCTCAGCTCTCCCAAGAATCCCTACCATTCCAACTCCTCTGCAGCCTTTAAACAGGACTCACTCCTCATCCCAGGACACAGTGTTTCCTCTCCGCAGAACTGTTCTGCAGAGAGGAGCTGCCAGGCACATTGCTGTCTCTCGGCAGGAGACAAGAGCTGTTTCAGACTCTACTACTTTAAAGCTACAAAGCAAAACAATCTATACAGGGAAAGAGCCCTGGTTATAAATAAAATAACCTTAAGTGTAGTTCCCCCAAACCATCTTAGTCATTTATAAAAATAAGGTATCAAACCTATGTCCTTACCACCTGGTTTTTAAGAGCTAATGAAATATTTCAAATTTGCTTCACTCCTCCACCAAGGGTGGCCTCGAACATGCAGTCGTGTTTAAGCCTCCCAGGAGCTGGGTTAGAGGTATACAGCACTACCCAATACGGTCCTTTTCAGTAAAGTTCTACATGGAGCTGAAGGCAGTGACCCACCATGTCTATAAATAAACTCTTACGGTTAGGTATATGCACAGCACCTAGCTCTTCACTCCTGCTCACTCATTAGCTAAATACACGTACGTGAACAATGCTACTGTTTGTAGTTGAACAGCAATGTATCTTACAGTACATAAAGACCCTCTGGCACTTGCTTCTTTCACTAAAAATAATGTCCTTTCAGTAAGTACAGACCTAATTGATGTACTAGGGGATAAGTACAGTCAACTGCATGAACACCTGGTTTACCTACTTCCCTGCTGGTGTGCAGCTGAACTGTTCTACTTCACTGCTGTGTTAAACAGTTCTAGCGTCACTCTTGCTACGTTTGTTCAGAAGGCTGCCCAAAATGTAAGTTGAAACTTGGCTCAAATATATTTAGATGGTCGAAAAACTATCACTGGAGTTAGCACTAGCCAGATGCCATCATCTGGTCAGAGCTACCAACAAAATCGTAACACAGGGGTCATGTAAGCAAGAAACTGGGGAAGGTTTCCAGAAGGAAAGTATTTCTAAATACTTGATAATTAAGAGAAAGATCAGTCAGTCAATTTGTGGACTTAGAGAGACAAAAGCTAAACTCTGGGTATAACTCACTGGCAGCGAAATGAACTGCCCAAAATCCCATCTTTTACTTGTGAGAACTGAAAGGGAAAAAAAAAAAAAAACCAACCTGTATATCTTCTTCAAAGTTAAAAGAGTTATATAATCACTAAAAAATTTATCAATAACTTAACTGATTTAATTATTATTTTTAGCCAGGCATGGTGCCACGTCCTTACAGTCCCAGAACACGGAAGGCTGGGGCAAGAAGATTATCAGTCTAGGTCAGCCTAAACTTCCTATCAAAAAAGAAAGCAAAATCAAACAAAGGGCATAAGCTAAACACACCATCATCCTACGTCCCAAAGACTCGGGGTCCAGACAGGAACTGAGTACATCACCAAAAAGAACAACCTCATGCTTTGTTGGGATTCACCAAGATTCTCTTAAGGACTGACATAAAAGCTGCCAGTTTTTATTACTTTTAAAAAAAATTGGTCATTAATGGTAAACAGACCTAAAAAAAATCTCCCTAAAAAAGAAACACCAGGCTAGGGAGACTGTTCACTGGGTAAAGTACCAGCTGTACAAGTACGACGGTCTCAGCGCAGATCCCCAACACCATGTGGAAGCCAGCTCAGCAATATGTCTAAAACCCAGCTCTGAGGGGGAATGGGTCGGAGGGAACGGGGACAGTATGCCATGAAGACAAAAGGATCTGTAATAGTGAGCTCCAGATTCAGAGAGACCCTATCATATGGATGGATGGATGGATGGATGGATGGTGTAAAGCAAACAGATGGAAGACACAAGATGATGACCTTTAGCCCCCCCCCCACACACACACACACACAAGCTAGGTATGGTGCATATATCTATGATCCCAAAAGTTGGGAAGTAGAGGCAGGAGGATCAAGAATTCGAAGTCATGGGGCTATATAGCAAGACTGTCTTTTAAAAAAAAAATTCCTACCAAGAACAATCTGCCTTTACTATAGTTGGAATCTGAGGTAACTGTAATTCTATAGAAGCTCTGAAAGGAGCTAAGTGGTCTGGAAGTCTGTGGGAGGACTGTAACAGGGTTCAGATGTGCCATTAGAGCAGGCCTCCTGTGCCATCTCAGCCACCACCTACTTTCCTCCCTGCCTGTTCACCTCACACTTGCCAAGGCTCATATTAACACTGAGGTACATTTTGGGATTAGGTATAACAATCTGAATATTTTATTGTTTATACAGTTTGATGTCTCAGGTACTGACTTATCTCCCAATTCCTACTGAAAATGGTCCTCCGTGTTCTGAGCTCCAAGATTCCTTGAATTCCTGAGATCATGAAGGTAGAGACCATCCATCCTTGGTGAACAGGATCAACTGATCAGCACCAGGAAGCCCTAGAAAATAGGACTTCCAGAGGTGAGAATGCAGTTCAGCACACGATGCAAGGAGAGAAGCTCTGGCAGGTTGTCCTCTGAACTCCACTCCCTTTGGCAAACACAAGCACACACCATAAATAAATGTAATTTTTAAAAATGTTTAAAGCATGGTCTAGACATCCTTGTGCCTGCAAAAGGGATTCTTTTGACTTTTTTATATTACCAAACTGCTAATCGCTTTATAGTCTCATTTATCAAAGGAAAGTTCTTTAAATAAAGTAAATATACGGAAATTCACTTACTTAATTTAAAAAACTTTCTTGGAAGTTGAGATAGTGTCTTTTGTAGCCCCAGACTAGCCTCAAAGGGCTATATACCCAAGGATGACCTTGAACTCTTGACCTTCTTGCCTCTATACTGGGATAACAGGCATGCCTGGGTTACTATTTAAAACCCTTTGTAACTTCAAAGGCCACCAAGGTTTTTCATATAAGACATTTAAACACAATCCTCTTAAGAAATCTTTGTTTTTGACATGGGGGTCTTTGACAGGATACACACATACACACACGACACTTAAACACAACCCTTCTTTACTCTGTAACTCAACTCAGGCTGGCCTAGAACTCTGTTGCCCTAGCTGCTTTCCCACTTGAAATCTCCTGATTAGGTCTCTGGAGTCCTGGGATTGTAAGCAGACATCACTGTGTTCCCAGCTTGAAAAGCTGTTTTCTTTCTTGGGGGTGGGGAGAGGGCAACATGTCTCACAATGTAGTTCTAGCCATCCTCCAACCCACTGACCCACTGTGTAGATAAACCAGGCTGCCCTGCAAGTTATTATGTAGACCAGGATGTACTAAAACTGACTATATATAGACCAGGCTACACTGCAACTGTAGATCAGGCTGGCCTTGAACTTGATAAGGTATCTCTCTCAATACCTGTGTCTGATTCTCCACTAAAATCCTTTCTTGAAGGCAGGTAATGGTGGGGCACGCCTTTAATCCCAGCACTCAGGAGGTAGAGACAGGCAGATCTCTGAGTTCCAGGGCAGCACTGAGCAATTTCCAGGACAGCGGGGGATTACACAGAGAACCCCTGTCTCAAAAAAGCAGGGTGTGGTGGCTCATGCCTGCAATTCAGTTCTGGGAGGCTGAGGCCATCTTAAACTACAGAGTGAGTTCCAGACTAGGCTGGGTAACAGACTGAGACTTTTTTTTTGTGGGAGGTGCCAGCCCTGGGCAAGAGGATCTAGGCGGTATAAGAAAGGCAGCAGAGGGTGAGCCTAAAGGCAAGTCAGTAAGCAGCTGTCCTCCATGGCTTCTGGCTCTGAACTCTTGGTCCTTTTGCCTCTGGAGTGTTGGGATTACAGGCCTACACCTGCCCATGCCACCAGCGTGGGCCAGGCTCCTGACTGCATTCCTGCCCTGACTTCCCTCAAGTTATGGGGCGATATGAATCACATAAACCTTCTTCTCCCCAAACTGCATTTGGTTATGGTACTTATCACAGTAAGAGAGAGCAGACCAGGGCAGACCCTGTCACAAAAGAAAAAGAAAACTTCCTTCTCTCCAACATCGCCTCTGCTTCATTAAAAGAAATAAGAACTGTAGAAAGCTCTTAGGGCTGGTGACGTTCTTCAGAAATACTGTTAGAAGGAACGTGGCATGGATGGATGTAGGCCTGTAACCGCAACACTCTAGATGGAGGCAATAGAACCAAGAGTTCAAGGCCAGCCCTGACTCCTCCACTGTATAGCATGTTTTAAAGGAGCCTTGGCTACATAAGACCTCAGACTTAGCAACAGTTACTACTTGTTTTAGACTCAACTAATCACACAAAAACTAAAATCAGAACTCCAGCAATATTCTCATTAGTCTCTTCACTTAAAGGAGTAAAGACAGTCCAACTGCCCAAGGTAAGGGTATGTCGGGTGGGACACACCTGTAATCCCAGCAGTCCAGAAGCTGAAGCAGGAGAATTGAGAATTCAACATGGCCCAAACTACAAATCAAGACCTTATCTCAAAAATAAATAAATGGCCAGGCAGTGGTGGCACACGCCTTTAATCCCAGCACTTGGGAGGCACAGGCAGGTGGATTTCTGAGTTTGAGGCCAGCCTGGTCTACAGAGTGAGTTCCAGGACATACAGGGCTACACAGAAAAACCCTGTCTTGAAAAACCAAAATAAATAAATAAATAAATAAATGTAGTTTTGAACATTATTTAATTTTTATTTTTATTCCCAAATTACTTGTCTAGTACTACTATAGACTACTATGTTTTTTTTAAAAGATATTACATTTATTTATTAGTGTGTGTGTGTGTGTGTGTGTGCCTCTGGAGGTCAGTTCAGTCCTTTTATCATGGATTTCAGGAATTGAGCTAAAGTCATCAGGCTTGGTGATAAGTACCTTTACCTACTGGGCCACCTCACTGGCCCATGCTGACAATTTTTAATATTATAAAACAGCTTTGAATCTTTTTTATTTAACTATGAATTCTAAATCTGCCACTATTAGCCATAATTTATTAATAAATTTTAATTAGGTATAGATTATATCAGCATATTTTCCAAATTAAAATGCCTTTATGAAATACCAATGTTACCAGAGATCAGCTTGAAATCACTTTTTCTTCTAAATACAAATTTTAAAATTATTTCTGAAATGAACTATAGTTGTTCTATCAGAGACTGACAATAGAGAAGCCTGTGTCCACTGTACAGTCCTACTACCTACTGCTGACTGCGGACAGAGAAGCTTGTGTTCATCAGGGTGCTCACTGCCACCTTCCTACTGTCACTCTCCCACTGCTCATGCTAGTGCTTCAATCTGTGTAGTAACCTTTTCTCTTTGACAGGGTTTCTCTGAGTAGCCCTGGCTGTCCTGGAACTCACTCTGTAGACCAGGCTGGCCTAGAACTCAGAAATCCGACCTTTTCTTGATAAACCCAACTCTGATTCATTCAAAGTATCTTTCCTACTTTAAAAAACAAAAGGTCACCATAGCCTGGTTCATGATATGCTAAAAGAGAGTAGTAACTAAAGAGTTAACATATATCGGTCATTTCTCAGAGTCCAGGCATAGTAATAAATGCTACATAAACCATACTGTAGACCAGAAAGCCCAGTGTAGAGATTAGGAAACTGAGGCAAAGAGGCTCAAAGAAAGACGTGTTCAAGGTATTTCTAGATCCAAAGCCTAGGACTCTTATCACTGTGCCTCTATTACTAAACAGAAGAATAAAATATTACAATTTACTCTTTGTATGGCAATGCCCACTTGTAATCCCAATACTTGGGATGCTAAGGCAGGAAGAGCTCCACAAGTTCTAGGCCAGACTGGGCTACACAGTGAGCTGATAAATCAAGAATATAAAATAAACAGCAGATTTTTCACTGAGCTCATTACCTAACACATTGTGATAGCTATTCCTGGTTGTCAACTAGACTACATGTACAACGAACTGCAATCCAGATACGGATTGAGGCTAGAATACAAAGGCTTCTGACCCAGATCTTGACATGGGATGACACAGATCTTGAAGCATAGTGGCCATGAACAGCTTAGGGCCAGGCTTTTAATCCCAGGAGACTAAGGCAAGCAGATCTCTGAGTTCAAGGCTAGCCTGTGGCAAAGCACAAGTTCCAAATCCAGGTGTGGTGGTACACACCTTTAATTTGGGTCACACCTTCTGCTAGAGGCCTGCATAAGGGCATTGGAAGAAGGAAGGCTCTTTCTCCTTTGCCTGCTCAAACTCACTTGCCAGCACATCTGTTGGAACCTACTTCTTCAAGATTCCAGCTTATCCAGAAGACCGGCTGAAATAACTACCCTTGTAGGACTGAGCAACTATTAGATTTTTGGGCTTCCCATTCACAGCTGCCCATTGTTGGGTTAGTTGAACTGCAAACTGTATATCATTATGATAAATTCCCTTAATATATAGAGACATTCCATAAGTTCTGTGACTCTAAAGAACCTGCCGTGGTCCGAGCTGTGCAGCATGTGTATGATAAAAACAAAAAAAGTATGACCTACAGCTTTGTTGCATTTTTGTACCTGCTCCAAATAAACTTAAATCACACAAGTTTACCCTTGACAGCCATTTAAAGAACAAATATAAGAGCAACAAAATAAGAACCTTAATTTGGGTACAGCAGTCAGTTAACCTATAAGAGAGTGCTGTTCTTGACCACCCCAATTCAACCAGTGTATTTTCCTCTTTGGTAACCACAGAAGGACTAAACAGTAGCTTGCTTATACAAAACAATTGCTTGTCTGCAAACAGCCCTGTTGCCTGGAGGACCGACGTCAATGTGAGAACCATTTCCTCAAGATCGCTCCTGTGTTCTTTCCTGTCTTCAAGATGCTTATTCTCTCCTTTGATGGATCACTTGATACATGAAGGGATTTGGTCAAACTACCATTGACTAATACTAAAGTCCTTTTCATTTTCCGCAAATGCTGTTTCAAACCACTAACCCTTTCTGCCCCCCCTTCACTTTTCACCGCGATTTGCATCCTGGGGCAAACCCACCTAGGACACTCAGCACGGTTCACTGTCTTGCCAGCTGGGCGCCCAGTGTTGGCATTCAAAGAGTCCTCTGAGTGAATGGGCGGAAAGCAGCGTGGGTGGAGGCGGGAAGAGGGAACCCGAAGGAATGCTACACAGCTCGGACCACGGCAGTGGCGCCCGGACCCGGAGGGTGGGACCCGGGCCGAACCACCACGTCCAGAGCTCTTCCACAGGTAGGGGCCGTCCCCGGAGGCCAGCCCAGCGCGCTCCCGCACCTCGGCCGACCCGCTTTCGAACCCAAGGACCGCCCTGACCCGCGCGGGCTCACCTGACGCTCCCGCAGCTCCGAGCTCTTCGCCCGGCGCGAGCCCGACTGCACCGCGGGTACGCGAGATCAGCTGATTCACGGGGGCGGGGCCTCCAGGTAGGGGCGGGGCCTCAGGCGTTTGGCTGGA